TATCTCAAATTCAATAATTGTTTTCGATGAAACCGTCACCAAGTAATAAAAAATGTCCAGTTTATCATGCACTCGCTTTGTATGATCTCGCCATAGATTTAACAGTCAGTTTATACTGGTTTTTTCTACAAAATCACATCGTATCTGATGATGTTTGTTTAATCTTGGAAAATCTTATAGGTTTGTAAAGTAATCATCGTGAACACTTTATCACATAACATAACATCACGCCTTTTATCCTCGAAGGGGTAGGCAGAGGTGTACATTATGCCATTGTACAATGTAACACTCATATTTTACTATTTATGTAATGACCCCCGTATGGGGTGAGCCTACCTATATACCGGGCACAATTCCATACTCCGTGCTACAATTGAGAAATTAAAAAAAACCCAGTAATACTTTGCCTGACCCGGGAATCGAACCCGAGACCCCTTGCCAACGACTACTTCAACAGTCAATAGGTACTTCATCACTTTTAATAGTAATACGTAACACACATAGAAAAAAAGACAATTTTTCACGCGCCCTGCTATAGAAAATTGTGATATTCTGCAGGCTGCTAGCTCGTTCGGTTATGGTATTGGCCAAAACTAATAGCATATTCGGAACCTCTTACTAATTGTGGTATTATATTAAATGGCGCATGAATGATTTTAATCGACTCGGGTTTTTTGGCATTATCCTTTACTTTTTTTTTTGTTAATTTTATCTCACTCTGGTTTTACGGGTGTCGTTCGTCACTGAGTCACGCCTCTCTCTATCTTGCAGGATCGGGGTAGGTTACATTTCCATACATTCTCTTATTGTTTAAATAAATAAATAGATAGACAACGGGATTTGGTAATTATATATGAGGTATACGGCCCAAATTAATTACCTCTCAATCTTTGGTTTGAGATCGATTTTAGACATTAGTCCTATTGATTTTCTCTCAACAACTTAGTAGGTACTCAGTGCAATGAAAAATGTTAACAGGAATATCGTAAGATAAATAAATAGGTTTTTTGAAATATAATTTAACGTGCAGATGTAGAATGATTCCGGTCAGTTTCAGTAATCTTATTTTTGGTTTTTGAGATAAAAATTGAGCCACAGTGAATTAGTAATGTTTTCCTAGCAGAATCATTGTATGCATTTATGACTTTTGCTTATCGCACTTTATAATTGAAGGTTACTATGGTAACTAATCAAGTGTCCCCAGCAATATATTATACTGATCAATTAACACGTTTGGACCACACAAGTTATTATTTTGAAAATGGCAATATTTTCTCTTTATCGTTCCTGTCGTTCTCGTTACTTTCCCGCCTACCAGAACAGATACTTTAGGTCTTTAATTCATTATTTCAAAGCAATTTCCTTCAATCTCAAAATTTTAGGTAACATCTTATTATTTAAGTTAGCGTCGTGTTGACGACGACTACCATTTTAATGATATCACGTATCAAAAAGAAAAACCCTAAAAATAAATAGATATCAAAAAAATAGATGAAAGAATAAAAAAGTTGCTTAGCATAAACATACCATTGGGAAGTGCGAAACGATAGTAAGATGGTGGTCCTTCCTGGCCAGTGCTTCGAGGAGCCGGCCGTACATTGCGTAGTGGCTCTTGGTGTTGGTGGGCAAGACGGCGAGCAGGCGAGCCGCCTCCGCCGACACCGCCCACGCGAGGAACAGCCATAGGAGCCGCGGCCTCATCTCTGTGCTGCCCGTCTCGGTTTGCGGAGCCGTCTAGCCTGAAACCGCCGAACTCCCTACTGCTGATAAAGGCATACGTCACCGCCGATAACAGTAGTCTCCGGCTTCTCCTATCCGCCACCCGCGCTCCCCGACGCAGCCCTCCCGCTAAGAAACTTTCTACAAGAAGTTTTCCAATATTCCTCATTGCTGCTTTGATTTCCGGCGAAATAGTCATCGTCAACTTCGGTTATTAGAATGCGTTGCGAATTAATTTTACTTCGATGTTTTAAAACAAGGTTATGATGCATTTTCAGTGCATTTACTACTTAGTAATAGTGCGTGAGTGACGTGTGCATCAATTGAACAGTGAACTTAACAATATTAGGTGCAATTTTTAGAGTTACTAAGCGTTTAACCAATTTCACCTTCGGCCTTCATGACAAACGGTCTGTTTTCAACCGACTTCAAATCTCACATAAAGAAAAATAAGATGTTTTCAGTTTACCAGATTTTGTTTTTCCAACACCTAACCTGTTTTTGTACCTAAAAAGTATGGATGTAGCTTCAAAGCACCAATATACACCAAATATATTTTGATGGTTTCACCAAAAGTTTTCTGCAAAAAGAATACGTAGCAGTAAATTAGAAAACTGACACGGGCTGCCATTTCGGGAACCGACCATCGCATTCGCGGCCAGTACCTTTACTAAAGTTGAACCTCGACAGGTGCTTCTACCGTACGTATTACATCAACGTGTGCAAGTGCAATAGACTCTCCATTTACTAACTTCATTCATAACAAACGAAGCCAACAACCTAATGACAAACCTAATTTATTGGATCATCACAAATACATGAAGATAGTCAGTGGATCCCAGCCACCGAAATTGGTGCCATCTCATATTTTTTGTGATTTTGCATGAAATTATTCTTATGCATTATTATGGAAATAAGAGGCAAATAGTTTCTTATCTCCAATTTATTATTGTGTTGTTTATTTTTATCTATCATCTAATATAGATGGGACTGACGTTTGACCACTATCTCACCTGTTTTCGTTCTAGCATGGTATTAGCATGGGCAACAAAGTGCAACAAGGTGAACTTGCACGCCGTTAAAAACGTAATCATTAACTAAGCTGAATTTATTGAACATTTTAGTCCTGTGTAAAGCAATTTTTATTTGTTACAAGTATAACCACAAACGGATTTAAGAGTGGTATTATCTAAAACAATATGACTGGGGGCACGGACGCATTACATAACCCAGACGCTGAGAACATTGCGTAGACCTTTAAAACGATAACAGAGACTTAGATATACCAAAAAACTTAGCTTTTCTTTAAATAAATAAGACGACATGCTCCCTAACTACAGAAAATATGGACTAGCTCTCCACCTGCGACTTCACTTTCGTTGCATTTAGCAGATCTCTCTGAGTAGGTCCCGACTCCCGATCCTGTAGACATATCGGTAAAAAAAAATATTATACCTCCCTGAAAAGTAAGCTTTCTAATGTCAAGTGTTTGAAATCAGTTCATTCCGACCTTATCAAGGAGAACAAACAAACAATATTTGCTCTGTATTAATTGTTACATTAATTATTCTTATGTATAAGACTGATAGTGTCAATAACATTTGAAAGGCTCTGAAACCGCTTTTAACCAGATATCCAGAAAGTTTTATGAAAAAATAAATTGTGTAACAAAATCAATGAGAGGTGAGATATATTTCTGAGTTGTTAATTAACAATGTTATTGTAGTCTGTAATCAATGCAACGCGTAGGTACAAAACGTAGCTACATTCTAGTACCATCGTGGAGGAGGTCACACCGCGGATCAGCTATTGATGCGCTTCTTAAGAAATAATTAAGGCGATCACTCGTTTATTGAGTGATTTCGTATATCTTACGTTTGTTACGTAGGTACGTATCTATGCAATGATTTATATTTTAATATGAATGAGGTGATAAAAAGTGGTAGGTACGACGATTTTCTATGAGTCCATACTCGAAAGTAAAATGTGATATGATATCCGAAATTTCTAAAATGTAATGGCTATACGGATAATAACAAAACAGTGCATTTTTCATCCTTTATTTGAATACATAAAGAGACGTTCTTGATTGTCGATGACTTAGTGACTTTCCTCATTTTCTTGCAATCTATGTAAACTACTGCCTCGTTGACCGAGTGGTTGCAAGTGCGACTGCCGGGCAAGGGGTCTCTGGTCCATTCCCGGGTCGAGCAAAGTATTACTGGGTTTTAAAAAAAATCTCAGTAGTAGCACGGAGTCTGGAATTGTGCCCGGTATATGGCAATAGGCTCACCCCCTATTACATGGGACTCATAACATAAATAGTGAAAAGTGGGTGTTACATTGTACAGTGGTATAATGTGCACATCTGCCTGCCCCTTCAGGGATTAACCATTTGAGTACCGTCATTATAGACACAATTAAAGAACAATAGGTTTCGGTCACCGGTGTCCTCGCGGTGTTTGACAGTTTACAGGCGTGGTGTTATGTTGTGCTATGTAAACTAGACGGAAATCTAATAATAAACTTTGAACGGCCCTGTCCTCCCGAGATGTCACAGACAATACTGATAACAATATGTCGATGCGGCTATAGTTACAATTAGAGATAATCACACCTAAAGGTAGTTGCTAATGCTCCACGCGAACTTTCGTGTAACGTCTTCATGACAGACACACCTCCGAGGATTTGTACGGAATGTACCGTGTTTAGATTAACTACCAAACAAGTTTTTAATGTTATCGGGTGGTTAATAATAACCAATCACAATCCAATTTTTTGGATTATTTACTGAATTACCGTTAAAACCCTGATCCCCAGATCAGATTTTGTTGTTGTATACGTACAAATATCTATTGTTCGCCAATCTGGTTGATTTTATTTACCTTTAAGTCCAACTCAAAATGTACCTACTGTTTCTAATCTCCCCTCTGCAGGAGGCAGTCGCTCCAGCCAGAAACTGTGGCTAGTGCCGGATCTGGTTCGTCTGCTGTCGACTCCAATAATAGTCTGCATAAGCCGAGACCAATGGGACATAATGTTAAACAATAAAAAAAATCCGTTATTTGGTAAAATCGTATTTTTTAACTAAACATCGCGGGTTACTCACGTGAATATACTGAAAAAAGCTCTAGTAGTTTCGAACCATAGAGGGGTTCTTCCTCATGTCGCGATGTCGCGCAGCCTACCATTGTTCTAAAATGTCCTGTAAACACAAGGAAAACAAGCCAGGAAAAAATGTTACTTTAAAATGGTGTAACGTAGTCAGTAAATTGTTTCAGTTACGAGGTGCAGGTGGAAGCCGAAGGTCGACGACGCGGCCTTGGGCAGCGCGTGCTCAGTGTCCTTGAGAAGCTCGCTGATGCCACGCGCATGCGCTGCGTACGCCTCACTGCGCTCACGCACAATCCCTCCGCCTCTGCGTTTTTCAGAGCTTGCGGGTAAGAAACCTTGTATTTTTAATCGATATTAAAAAAGGGGATTCTCAATTTGATCTGTATGTATGTTTGTGCGCGATTATATTGCGATTAGGCGTGATTGGCTGAACCTATTTTGATGCGGTTTTCAGAAAAGTGTTCATGTGGTACACTTAGGAGCATATTGTAGTATATTAGTTAACTAACGATAAAAAAGGAGTTTGAAGTTGGAGTTAAAGACCCCAACTTCAAACAAAACATAGTTTACAAAAGAATTATGTCACTTTGACTGTCAAGTTAAAAATATAGGTATAAGGCTTTTATAAAGATCGGCAGCACGTGACAATTGTAAACTGTGCGTCCCCTCATAACAGTATTTGTCATAATGTCAGATGATTTGGAGAGTTTAAAAGGTTCATGTTTATCAGAGAGCGCTGTTTCCTGGTTTCTGTCAAAGAATAGGAGTCGGGACCAATGTACTTATTTTAATCCTCAGATTAAATTGAAATAGCCTAAACAAATGACTCATTACATAATTATTGTGTTTTCGGCTTACTCGCGTAACTTTTTGATGAGGAACTCGACTACATAACATCACGCCTTTTATCCCCGAAGGGGTTTGCAGAGGTGTACATTATACCACTGTACAATGTAACACCCACTTTTCACAATTAATGTTATGAGTCCCATTTAATAGGGGGTGAGAACTCGACTAGTTTCAAGCCATTCTAGAGCTCATATTCATGAACAGCATTCTGCGAACCGCGACGCGGTGACTGTCGCGCTGCTACTGTGTCAGTACAGTTGCGTTACGTTACGCTCGTCAAACAGTTACATGAGTAAGCCGAAAACATAATAATTAATTAGTATGTCTCACGAGAGTTTTAATATAAACATAAAAAAATTACTTATTAATTTTTCAGGTACAGTTTAGACGAAACGAGTCCGGGTCAAGACGAGGCAGCTCACTATGAGATCCTAAGCAAGTTGACTGAGAACCAACAAGATGGGGATGCGACACAGGAGAAATGTCCCCTTAGCGATGGCATGAAGGCCGTGCAAGTAGGCAACCCGCAATGACCACAACTAGTCAACTAAAAACCTTAGTTCCATTTTCTTATAGATCTTAAGGGTCAATTTGTAATAGCAGAGTCCAAATGTGATCGAAGAATCCAATTATGAATGTACAACTCTACGCTTCCAAGGAGATGGAATCTGTCTTTTAGTTTAGCAGCATTAAAATTAAGTTTCTAATGCCTTACAAGTAAAAACTTTCGAATAGTAGGTTATTCCAATCATAATCCTATTTACAAAACGATAAAGTTGATATTTGTGTACATAAATTGAAACAGGACAACGAAAGAAACGGAATTCATTTTAGCTGCTATTGAATAATGGTCATGAATTAATATGAGACTGTTGATCAGTTATTTGAACCTTTAAGCAATAATTTCATTAACGTAATAAGTTATGAATAATCACATATTTCTCTTATTATGAATAACACATTTTTGAAGTAAGTATTGTTGTAACAATAAATATCTTGATGATAATATACCAAATGGTAAATTATTTCTAGCTAGCAAATACAAAAACGATCGTAACGAAAAGAAATATTCTAAAATTCTATTTTTTAGTACTCAAAATATTAAGTAAGTTCTTTCATAGCATATTCAAAATCAAGCAATTAAATATATAATACAATAAGTTTTATAATTTGACAAACTTTAAATAAGCATTTAAAAATAAGCTTATTAGGTAGATATAATTGAAGCTGATTTACATATATACAGATGTTGATGGAGAATAGGAAAGCATACAGTTAGGTATTTTTAATGATCCATCACAAAAAATCAATATTATATTTTAAACGTACGTATCTAAGTAGATGTAATGTAGCCCCATACTGTTTGCGCATTTGTTGCGCAAGCAGTTTGCGCAGTCTTGCGCAAAAATCCTAAGTATCGCAGTGAATGGTCGTAGTAGAGGAAAATGTACAAGAATTGTAACACCATGTTTGTAATTCTAACGAAGTGTAGGCAGATCTGATATCGTACTATAGCTTTATAAAATAATAACTGTATTGGGCTCAAAAATCAATCTTCAATCATTAACGTTTACTTTATTAATGCGTTCACTCCCAACGCGATCAATGACGACCAACAGCGAAGGAATAGAGTTCGTCAGGTTTTTTTTTCGACTAAAATCTATGAATACTAAATAGTAACAATTTCGCCAAAGAGCTAATCAACTGTAAAGGGTCTTAGATAAACGTGTTTCCAACAGTCGCTTACCTTGGTCATCGTCAGATCTTGAACGGCTGATATCACCTTTTCACTATCTTATTAACGCGCTTTATTATGAATTTGATATCACTCCAGAAGATAATTATGCATATCTCAATATACTACATGTTGATGTTCAAGAATCATGTTGACTAACATTAATTGATATTCTACAAAAAGTAATTTACTAATCAAGTCTACCGACGTGAAGCAACGCTTGCGTTGTGTTTCGTCGTGTAAGTGCGGTTACCGGAGGCCCAATTACCTTCCCCTTCTCCAATCTCCCCAATTCCTGAATCCCCAACGATCCTCAAACTCCTAATCCCCAAAAGGCTGGCAATGCACTTGTAACGCCTCTGGTGTTCCAGGTGTCCATGGGCGACGCTGATTGCTTACCATCAGGTGATCCGTCTGCTCGTTTATTGGCTTATGCCATAAAAAAAAGTCTGATATTACACAAGATGGACAGACGTCTGGAAAGATCGCAAGAAGCCGCTGGATTTAGTAGATAGCTTCTAATTGACCGATCTGGAAGTTTTTGTGGTAGGCCTAGGTGCGACGTCTTGTGGCAGATATAATGATGATATCGACTATTGTTGTTTTAAAATGTATTAACGATTGTTAATACTGCTCAAAAAAATAAGCCCTGAAGGACGGTTACCGTTTTCTATTCGCCAGATGGCATAAATGTAGGAAAAGGCTTTTTATCCAATCACAGCAGCTGTCAAATATTCAACGTCCAATGGTGTGACACTTGCTAATTCCCTATTGGACGAACGAGAGGTTCACTCTTGTCTCAAGAGACGGCTGAGAAATACAAATTATGTTTATACCCTTGATGACCTAAAAATACTTACAAGTAGGAACTTAAATATGTACTTAGATATAAGAATTGTGACGTAATTAATTCAAACTAATTTCCGCCCTAAACAGACACGCTACAAACAACGATGATAATAATTATTATTGTTATTAAAAATTTATTGTATAAGTGCTGAGATTGTTAATTTTATACAAACATTTTGAGCAATACAAACGTTTTGTGAATTTCTGTTGTTTTAATTCTCTTTTTAGCACTGCGGTACAGTTACCATTTTGGATTGTAAAGTCGACTATTAATCTAGCTATCTCAGACTTCATCTTGTTTTTCCAATGGAAAAGTTGAAATACCAAAAGCATTAAAAACAATCCGGTTTCTTGTAGACAGCGTAAGTACTACGTGTAATGTATGTCGCTGTAACTAAATTACCGGTAAACCCACTCACTATTATTAGACATTAATTTTAATTATTGTTTTATTCAGTTTTAATTACCTACACAAATCACAATAAAAATGCTAAAATAAAATCTTTATAAATTATATTTAAATTGTTCATAACCATGTCATGGGTATCACAGTTAATTTGGCAATAAATCATAATTATTTCTTTATTCTAATGACAAGACACTTTGCACCTTATTTAGTCTTCAATAGTTTCAATATCCAATGGCTCATCAGTTTTTTCTTCGTCTGTTGATACGCTCCAGGACGAAATGCTTAAATTACTTGCGTCTCTTTCATACAACCGTGTTCTGTCTCTGTCGTTTTGTCCAAGAGTTATATTGAAGGGAATACTGGATGCGTCAGTTGATGTCCAGGAACATGGAGTTATAATTGAGACGTGAGCTGAGGTGGTAGGTGGAAGGGTCACAGACATCGGAGGTGCGATGTTGCCACATTTCTCTCTTCGCTCCCTTGCACGTCGGTTTTGGAACCAAATCTTTATCTGAGAACAATATTTTAAGTTAAGGAATAAATATGCCTATAAAGTAAACTTGCTTGACAATAGACTTGAGAACGTTATCTATTACCTGGATGATTGCTATGATACAAAATAAAATAGGTTTTTCTTACAGGAATTTTACTAAACGAGAATGGAGTAGGTACCTACGCACTTTTTTTTTTTTTTTTAAGGGGGGAAAATCATCGAATGACTGCTCCCGCCTGGGTGAGGCGGAAGGGAGTGTCAGACTCTTACTGACTAAAAACCACCCCGTTCCTTCTCCTGCACGTCGAGCCGGAGCCCCGGTTACCCGTTAGGTTCTCCGCGACTCCGAATCGGCATCGGCCCTATTGGGCCCCATCTGTGGTGGTCTGATGGCTCTTTGAGGCGCGCGCGGAACGCGACGCGCCGTACGCTCGGGTCTGTTTCTGGTCGGACGGGGAGCCACCCATGCTCGCCGTCCGCAGGCCCGCGCTTACGGTGGCCGGAGATCGTCCCGCGATCCCCGACGCCCGGTGTGTCCTTCGCGATGGCTGGGTCGCGAGGAGGCAGCGCTTCGCTGCCTCACGCGTCCCGCCTCCTCCTTAGCTAGCATGACTGCTTCGCAAAAGGAGGAGACGGCATCCCAGTCCCCCTCGCTCCGCATCATGGCCTGCACTAGGCCCGGACGCGAGAGGTCGCCATCGCCGATCACTTCCCTGAGGGCACGGCGGTGCTCAGCCCACGCAGGGCATTCCGCTACGGTGTGTTCCACCGTGTCCTCAGGGCGGTCCTCGCAGTGATGACACCCGGGCGTTTCCTCCCGCCCCATCAGACAGGTACCTACGCACTACGCTAGGTATTTGCATACAATAGCGTGTGACCGCTCTGACATAACATCGTCGTTCCCAGGTTTATCTGATTAATGCTGACTTTAATTTGGATATTCACAGTGAGAATTAACTTTTATTCCACAACGAATACCTGAATAAGATCAACAGGTCAATGACCTATTATTATTACCTATCTACCTATTTAAAAATATTTAGGTCTAATGTCAAGTTCTGAATAAAATAAAATTGAATGGATACGGGATACAGAACGTTTAGAAATAAATATAGAGGTAACTGGACCAATAATTTAAAAGCCTGTTTATCTATTTATTTAAATTAAGTAATTTATAAACAAGCTACTTATTGGACCCTTCAAAGCCTGCTTGTGCCCAATTCCCAATACGACTAGCTATCCGTATTCCCTCACCCATAAAAGTAATTCTTCTCGACTTTTCCGCAATAACTGTTTATACAAATATCGACAACACTGGTAAAATAATACTTACCTACCTATTCCGGAAAACTTAAGTTTGACAAATTGATTGCACTCACTCTATCGTCACGTAACTGCAAGGCTGCGGCGAGTGCACGCAAGGCCGGGGGAGCTAGGTACGGAGCGCGCGCATACGCGGCCTCCAGGGCCGCCGCCTGCGCCGCCGTGAACGGCACCCGAGCGTGCCGGCCCGACCGTCTCGCGCGACCACCGACACTGCTCACTGCACCTGTTGCAAAAAACAGCCGGAGTCAATTCAGGAAGTTGGTAACTAGTACTTGGGCTACAATTATGCATCTCACAATTCACCGTCATAGGTAGTGACGCAACGTTACTGTCCCAAATCCTTATGACATTGAAAAAACTCTGAGTGACTGAGTTGCACATTTACCTAAGTTGCGTGAGTTTTAGGCTAATGTTCCTTAGGAGATTATGAAGAGGAGAATACTTAAGTATATTGTCGTCTTCACAATCTTGTTCGTCATTGGTGGAGGTCAGTAGGTCATGACCAGCTCCATGGTGGGTTAGGTACACCATTTTAAGGACACCCTAATATTATTCTAAGACGTAGAGCCGAATAGTAGGAACCTACTGCTAAAAAAATTGCAGCAACATTTTTTTAGCACACTAGGCGTCTGGGACTCCTTAATTCCTCACAAGGCGGTTTATGGCGTAAAATTAAGAAGCACAATATTGTAAAATGTACCTAACTGATGAATCTTAAGAAATATACACCTTCTGTCCGTCAAATTGTTAGTAACTTAGCTTTCTACTACCATATAACGCTGACTGAAGGTCCCTGGAGATGCTGATGCAGTTGGTTCAAATGTGTTAGTTGCGCAAATGTGTTAGCGTACCGCTCATTTGTAAATTTTCCGTAATAGGAACCTTAACTTGCAATCTGCTAATAAAAGTATGTATCTAGTTAAATTCAGTAATAACCACATCAGTAATAGTAGCAGATGGATAAAATTAAAGTGTACCGTAATCAATAAGACTAAATTGAAGCGGGCTTAATCCATGTTATGCGAACATAGATACACGCGAGACACAACATGTTTTCTATTGTGTCTCATATCTCTTATCTAAGAGGTTAAAAGTAAATAAAAACAACACATACATAGCTACCTACGTACTAATTAAAAGTAGATACCGATTCACACTCATAATTCAAAATTACCTTTCAAAAACCTTGAGATATAAACAGAACTGACATTAATAAAGCTATTGTTGCTATATTATTTTTCTCAATTCCTACTTCCTATTTTATTAAGCATTGCATTGTGAAAAAATGGTTATTCATTCGATCGGCCTCTATTGAATGGTCCTTTACCTCTTATTATAAAATGCAACAGTGATTTATAAACTTAGGTAATCACTTCAAAACAATCTCTTGCAAATACTGATTAATTAAGCTAGGTATAGTAGTTCTTACGTGGTAACCGAGGTGGTCTGTACCGGGTGCAGCACAACCAATCTGGAACTTCCACATTCTCTGATCGCTTGCTGTCACTACTTAAAATCCGCTCTATACTAAAATCAGAGCCACACTTAGCACTCGACTGTACCGGCGAATCCATGACCAGCGGTCACCGAGACTTCAACATTCAGAATACAACTAAAAGATAATCTATTGTCTGCTACCCTTAAAATATACCCTGGATAATAGAAGGAGGAGCTTCGTTAAGCCACGCCTTAAATTTTGGGGATGCTTTGGGATTGTTATCAGCAACCGCATCTTTGGTCCCTGGTCCCTGAGGGTCGTACGCACCAATGAGCCGACGAGTGTTATGACGTCCGTTCATTCATACGTCCCGCAAATTGAATGGTAAAAAGATACTGTTTGCACACAAAAGGATGATATTACTTTAAGGGTTTGTGGGAAAATTAATTTGTATTTCTATTATATCGCCTTTGTTGCAGATTAATCGGTTTGTAATATGATATGTTATGTAATAGCTTATTAAAATGAAATAAAGGCTGTGAATAGGAACCTACATCGTTTCATTTTCGATTTATGATGAAATTGGAAACTATGCCATGTGTTGTTATTATGATTAGAAGATTAGAATTGAATTAATTATGTGATGTATCGATTTGTAATTTTGACTTAGGGTGATAACATTAATTAAAGTGTCCATAGGTCTTCTCTGCCGTGAATATTCCGCTGTAAGGTAAATATCCCCGAAGTTATAAAAAAAAGAAAGTAGGTACCAAACCATAGCTTACCCACATTATGTCGTAAACATGGCATTCTGTAATTGTTACCGTTGCAATCAATAGCAGTGTAACAATAACAACCGACCCTAACGTCTGTTGAGAGAATTGAGAGCAACAATTATCTACAAATTGCGATTTACATTGTGATAAAGTGCGTTGACAGTGCGGTACGCAACCGCTCAAGTACCACATTATATTATTGTCAAACATTGAATTGTAATAGAATTGTATAATGCAATAAATTATCTGCCACTTGTCAACATTACTACAGGATTTGTAAAAGATTCAGCGTGTCGATAACGATATTATTAAACGCAGATGTGAGTTAATCATGTTTTAAAATCGGTGTAGTAAAAAGGATATAATAAGTACATAATAGCCGTTTCTTACATTTACTGATTGTTTCTAAATGAAACTTAAAGCCAAAGAAAAAAAAAAATATCTATATATAAAGTAAAAATATCTGTTCTATTCAAAATCAAAAGGAGCAAAGCATTTTGCCTACTTGAATGATTACCAGAACCGGTGCTTTTGCCTAAACAAATAACCTTATAAGTAACCAACTTTAATGAACATTTACTATTACTAACCACCCACATAATGCACAGTAAAGTGCCGAGTAGTTATAATAATGAGACGATTACTTAAAGTAAAAAAAAGCGTGTGAATGAAATAGTTAAATGAAACACAAAAATAACAATAGTTGAAATGTACGCCCTGCTTCACAGAGGAAGCAGAAATGAATACAAAGTGAGGCAGCGCTAAGTCTACTGTTTACCGGACGAAAGCCTACTCTATGGTAAACCGGTAACCGGCGCGTGCAGGCCAGCAAGGTTGCTTACGACCCAAACCACGACACTGGCTCCGCTCACTCGCATTGTGAATTCACTCTCGGCGGTATCAACACAAGATAAACAAACAAACAATTGCAATATTCACAAACTTGAGCTTAAACTCAGTTACCATTATGTCCATACCTGACTACTTTCAACTGGAGGGCGGTGACCGCATGCCGCGAATTGGATTCGGGACTTGGCAAGTAAGTTTGACATCAAATATGAATGAAACATATTGTTATTTATTTTATACAAAAACAACCCATAGTTAGACAACTATTATATTTGGTGCTGTCTTCTGCCAAAGGATTACAAACTACAAAATATAAGTAATAAATAAATTAAATACAATTTTGATATCGCAATACGTCTCTATAAATTATGTTCATGGTTCATTTGTGAGATATTAAGTTTTTGTTCCTAGATAAAAACGCCGCTGTAGCAAAAACAGAGGTGTATAAGTCAATAGTTGCGACCAATACATTATGAATCTTCTGTTTCTTTATCGCAATCTTGAACGTTTTCGTGCCGACTTTCCTTATTCTTAGTTTTAAGATATTTTTTATATTTTCTCTTTTTAAGAAAATTTAAGTACTTTCTGAATATATTCCATTTGTTACGACGTAGTTGTGTACTTGAGGAGCGTATGACGCAGGGCACCTCGCTGTACTCTTGGAAATACATGTTATGTGAATCACATGAGCACTTGTTGCTACAAAACGATATCGACTCGCTGCCGTCGAAGTCTCCGCTGGAGTGCGACAGCCCCCTCGACGTGGAGGCACGACAAGGGCTAGTCTCGTTAGTCCACTTTTCTGGAACTTGTTCAGTATTTAAACATAGTTCTGAAGGTTTAGAAGTCATAACAGAAAGTCTACAAAAGTCACTGTGGTCATGTCCACCAAACGTTGATTAGCCATTTGGTGGCACGGTTAGTTTACACATTCTTATTTGGGAACGAACAATTTGGCCAAAACTTGTATCGAAAACCAGTTTTCGGAAATAAATTTTAAGAGGAATTGAAAGTGAATTTTGACAAACCTTAAAATGTCAATGAACCTTGACAGTAAGTAGTTGATAAGAAAAATGAGGAAGCGACGCGTGACGGGCAAAGAGACCGATAGTAGAGAAACTATTCATTTCATGCATGATTCTATCATCTAGGTTAAATAGGTAGATACCTTAAACAAATACAAACTTTACAGGCCGCTGACGATGTTTTGGAGAAAGCAGTGGATGCTGCTCTGGAAGCAGGATACCGGCACTTTGATACAGCACGAGCCTATGAGAACGAGGCAGCACTCGGGCGTGCCTTGAACCGCTGGATCGGGGGTGATCCCGAGCGGAGAAAGCAGTTGTTCATTGTAACCAAGTTACCGCCGGGAGGTAAACAAAAATATTATCTATATATTATACAGCCTATAGATATCCACTGCTGAGCAAAGCTTCTTCTCACACGGAGAAGGGTTGAGCATTAATCACCACGCTTACTCAATGCGAGTTGGCGATCACAAACTTCTTACAACTTCTTATAACACCCATGGGCACAGTATAGGTGGTATCTAGACTAGGTACGCTTTTTTTGAGAGGGGAAAATCACCCACTGATACACGCTGTCTCGCTCTGTCCCGTCTGACGGGACAGACGGGACAGACTCTTACTGGCTAAAAACCACCCCGTTCCTACTTCGAGCACTTCGAGCCGGAGCCCCGGCAACCCATAAAGCCCTTTGCGGCTGCTTATCGGCATCAGCCATATTGGGACCCATCGGTGGTGGTGATGGCTCCTTGAGGCTGGGGCCCTTGGGCACGCAATATCTCCGGGCCCTTTTGGAATGTTTTTAACGTTACCCTGCACTAGGATTTTCTCCTGTATCGTGGGTGTATTTACAAACATACAAGTTCACATACAAATGACACCCAGACCGGAAACAACAATTTGTAGATCACACAAAGAAATCTTTGTGTCGAATCTAAATCGAACCCTTTACACTTTGCGGGGCAGGCGGTCGGTCCTTCCGACAAATTGTCGGTCCTCAGAGCCTTCTGAGGACGTGGGCCCTGGACACTGGCCCCGAGTACCATTATGGTAAAGACGGTTGCCATCACCTTACGGCCAACAGTTATATATTTACCTAATGTGTAGAATTGTATTGTAGTGTATTGTGCCTCATCCATCCCCAAATAAGACAAAAAGATTTAGGTCTCCTTGTTTTTAAATACTACATCAAACAAGACTAGATTTGTAGCTATATTACTTATGTGATATTTTTTGAGTCCTCTATAAACCAGCCACGTAGCTTCTATTGCAAAAAATCACATAAGAACAACAAAATGACTTAGTAATTAAATTCTACACCTCGATAGTTAATAAAATCAATTAACATTCCTACTAAAATTGGCGTTGGCTTTCATGGCCATCATACTTGAGTATGTCTAGGTATCTCGTACAATATGGCCTGTTATTTATTTATTCTCGCCAACTAGTTAAATTCAACACAATTTTATATCAGTTTTCTAAGAATTTTCTACGACATTGCACTCTGTAAATGTGAAATCGATTTTGCTAATATTGTAGATACTCATCTTATTAATATTATATGCGAAAATTCTGTTTGTGTTTATGTTTGTTACTCAATCACGTCAAAACGGATCTGGATGAAATTTGGAAAGGGGTAGATTATGATCTTGAATAACATATAGGCTACTTTTTATCGTAAGCCGCTAGCAGGAGCTAGTTCCTTCTATATCTAGAAAAATATTAAACTATACTTAACTCTTTGAGTCCCGTCATTATAGAGGTAGACACAGTTAAAGACCAATAGGTTGCGGTCACCGGTGTCCTCGCGGTGTTTGAGTCAGTTTAAAGTTAAATCAGTTAATGAGATCGTTGATTTACCTAATTAAATATCATTTTTTTATCATTTTACAAAACGTTGCCCCACACTAGGATTATCTCCTGCATCGTGGGTGCGTTTACAAACATAAAAGTTCACATACACACCTAGACCCGGAACAACAATTTGTGGATCACACAAAGAATTGCTCCGTGCGGTAATCGAATCCGCACACGTTGCGCGGCCGCACCAACCGTGCCGTTAAAAATACTGTTATAGTGGAAATAATTTATTTTTGATTGATAAACAACTGTAATAGAATATGGCTACTTTAGCATCGTAAGTTCGTAACCGTGGTCAGACAACAAAATTAGGAACCACTTAATGAACCTTGCACTAACAGTTGTCAAATGATCGCAAACACGACTGTTGCAGACGAAGTCTCTTGTCCCATTCTGCACTACTAGGTTTTCCAATATCATAATGTATCTAAGATATAAGTGTAGAAAGATAAAATAACACTCAGTTGATCATTTTGTTCGGTGTTCGTTGATAGATGTTTAAGCATGTACTAGTTTAACCTAAGCCGCATGTATATTGCATATTTGCAAACGGCTTATTATTTACTTACGTTACATTGACACGAAGTAGGCAAATAAAAGTAAAGATAATAAGGGAAAGAATTAAAAAATAACATTACCTAAATATTAACTATTTTTACCCTTCCACACAGGAAACAGTCCAGAACGAGTACAGGAGTACTTTGACGCGTCACTCCAGGATCTTAACCTTGAATACGTGGATCTGTATCTTATCCACACTCCCTTCGCGTTCGAGCATGTACCAGGAGACTTACATCCCAAGAACCCGGATGGTAGCATGAAGGTCGATCATTCTACCAACCTGCTTGAACTATGGAAGGTAATGAATGACCTATTTATATAGGTAACCTCAAAGCGACTGCGACATATTTTGTGTCAAATTTTTGTAACTTCTAATGTCAACACATTCTCTTTGGTCAACATCACGTCAACCTCATCATGGCCTTCACTTGAAAGAAACAGTTGCACAGTTTAGATAAATTTAATGAGTATACCCACATCTAAATTAATATTATATTTATTCGTGTTTTTTATTCTAAGCGAATTTGCCCAGCAAACGGCAAACATGGGGGTTTCGTACACAGACAATGACGCCACATGTCCCAACAAAGAAGGACATGGCGAAAATGTGAACGAAGTTAAAATGAATTCAATATACCGCAATACTGAAATATATAAGGAATGCAGCTATCAACTTCCTTCAATTCATTTCTTCAAGACCAAGAAAAAGAACCCTTTGTCCAATGCCAAACTCGAAGCGCAAATAAACAGAGAATTTGCCGAGTGTAAACAAAGTTTCAATTCACAAAACTATTGGTCAAAGGTTTATCATTCACCCATCACAGATAGACAGTGCAAGGTTAAGCAAGTTGAACAAAATACTAATAGTAAGCAGTCATCAGACATTCAGCTCGATACTAATCAACTGGAATGCCTCCAAAATGACACAAACATCCAAGCCTGTCACATCGTTCCTACTGAAAATGTAAGCACGTCCATGACTTCGTTTCTTAAGCCGAGACAATCAGTAAAGGCGAGGTGGAGGGATGGTACAAAACGACTGTCCCAAAAATGTTGTGCCCATGCTGCACTGGCGGTGACGACAACCTGGCCCCGTACTGCGCTCACAATGCCACCGGCTCTTACGAGAGTATAGACTTGAAGTTCTCCAACAATGCGCTACACTCTTTAGACTTGGACGCATCTCTTATGAGCATCATACACATGCATAGAAGTTATAAACAGAAGAGAACACCTAAAGATTATGTAAAAATATTAAGTGCTGTTCTTAATAATACCTACAAAAATGCCATTTATTGGATAAGCTCGATGAAACAGTAATTATGAACTTTTAAGTATGGACAAGGAAAGGCTTTATTACTTACGTCATAGAAGTAAAAATGATGACAGCTGAATGATTTTATTTTGTCAAAAATGACATTATATCCACAATATCAAGTGCTACGTTTTTGTATTTTGAATTGAAAGTATTGCTGAATTGGTTTGTAAAATTCATTGCAGCTATGGTTGATCTGCAAGAAGTTGAAAAATGCCATTAAACACTATCACCAAAATGCCTACATAGCAGGCAAAAAGATTTTTAAATGAAAAGGTAAGAAAGAGAAGAAACATACGTGGCGCTGTTGCTTGTGAGAAGAAATCACTATTTAAAGATTACTGAGGCCATGTGTTTTGGTCTGTGTAAAAAGAAAAAGAAATATGACAATGCAAGGTACCACTTAAAAACTGATAGTACGAATGCTAAGAAGGTGCAAGAAAAAGTTCCGAAATCTGCCAATGCGGCCATTTACCCACGAGGGCAAATTATACGTATACCGCGAGAACCTAACACTGCACGCACGCCTAGTAGACCATATGTTTCAAATGAGCAACGGCCTAATGTGCCACGAGCAAACACGACAAATATTTCACGAGGAAATACGCAGAATACGTCACGAGGTAATGTGCTGAATGCGCCACAACCAAATGCACCGAATGTACCTCGAACAAATGTACCGAATGTGCCACGAGCAAACTCATCGAATATATCACGAACGAACACGCCGAATATGTCGCGAGGAAATGTGCCACAACCAAATGTACCGAATATGCCACGAGCAAACACACCGAACCTGCCACGAACAAACACATCGAATATGTCAAGAGGAAATACGTCCAATATGCCACGAGGAAACGTGCCAAATGCACCACGTGTAGCACGAGGAAACGCGCCAAATGTACCAGAACCAAATGGACCAAATGGGCCAAATGTACCAAATGTGCCTAGAAACGTAAAGCGAAGAATGTTTAGAAATACGTCTGACAATGGAATTGACGTATATCAAACTAATGTTTGTTACTATACTAAAACCGGCACAAATATAACCAGATATAAAATGAACTCTAATGACGTTATTCGAACAGGCAATTTCATAAAAAATCAAGGGAAATGTGAACCATCGCTGCAATGTATTTACTTACACGAAGAGCATCCATTGCAGACACCCAGTGACTACAACAAACTATATATCCCTAACACACGGACCTTTGGTCAGTGCTATGCTGCTCCTTTGAAACAAGATACTATACAAAAAGCCAAACAATCTAGAGGCATCTTCACCACATTATTTTTCTGTTGTTTAGGAGACAAAAGTCAAGGAGCTAACCTACCTAGCACTATACCAGTTGCACGCTCGCTGAAGGATGTACACGTAATAAACTCTTTTAACTGTGACTCATACGACTTCGGGTGCCAGTATAGTTTGAAATCTACACACAGTCTCGAAATTATCTCTCAGATGTTGACCAGATCATACTCCAACTTGTCGTCTACTGAAAGTGATAACAGTGCCAAGTGGCGGAACCGCTTCCGTAAAAACAAGAAACGTCGCAGTGATTTATTTGTAATGATGTATACATTAGCACGAAAAATTAAGGATAAAAATTCTAAATTTCCGATAAGGAAAAAAAAGAACAATGTAGTCGTACTGAGAGTGCCCAAACAATTCAGCAATGCCTCAAATACAGGAAGTCTATCAAAAACACCCACTTGCACGAAACTGGAAAAACCTTTAACGATTAGAGATGAATCTTCGCATGAACAAATCAGTTACAATTGTGTCAGTTCACGAAATAAAATATGGGGGCCAGGAGAAGTTCTTCTAAAGAAACCCTAAGCTAATTAATTAAGTCTGTTAATTAATCTGTCGGTAAGCAAGAGCTTCAACGTCTTCAATGTCTCGTCCTAAATGTTAAGACGTGGGTGGTATATTGTAAAGTTTTCCTTACAGACATTGCTGAAATTAAAGGAGTCTGGTCGTGTTCGCCACGTCGGGGTGTCCAACTTGAACGCAGAGCAGCTAGCGCGCGTGTGCAGCGTGCAGCGCCCCGCGTGTCTGCAGGTGGAAGTGCACGCTCTATGCCAGCAGCCGGCGCTGGTCGCTGCTGCCAACAAGCTCGGTGTGCCCATAGTAGCCTACTCACCCCTTGGATCTAAAGCACTAGCCGACGCTTTAGCTGCTAAAACAGGGTAAGTTCTTAATCAACTAATGAACATAACCTGGATAAAGTTTGATAAATTGGTACCGTGGTAGACTTTACAGCTTTCGCTAAATATTGTATCTCCACAGACGAGAGTACCCTGACCTTCTGCAGTTGCCGGTGGTAACGCGCATTGCGCAGGTGCACGGGCGCACTCCCGCGCAAGTTCTGCTGCGATTCACTCTTCAACGAGGCCTTGCCGCCATTCCCAAAAGCACGAACCCTGCCCGCATCAAACAGGTAATTCCTTTAGTTTCTACTCTATTAAGGTACACCTACATATAACACCTTTAACCTATTACACATACTCAGATCAAGAAATAATTTTGGTCATTACGCCGCTATGCCAAGGCTTTGTACGCAGTACAAACTGGTATCAAAGACATCGCAACTAAATATCTGCGAGTCTCTTTCCAGGTGTCGGAGACGATTGAAAATTTTGATTTTCGATTGTTGATGTTTCGTTAGCTTTTAATCCATTAATGTCACTAAATTATTGTATTGCGTTATCATTTTTTTTATGAAAGTTACAATACAATGTTGTCTTCCATCTGTACACAAATAGATACTTTAATATTTATATTATTAACTTAGTCGATAAATTATTCAAGTACATACTGCATTTCCTTTAATTGAAAAAGTGTAGGTACTCACCTAATCCAAAATATTGTATGATTTTCATGACAATATGTTGCGCACATCTTTTGTTGGAGATGGTAATGAAATAAATAACAATATAATTATTTTGCTCCACAGAACATCGCATTGTGGGACTTTGAGTTGAGTGAATCAGAACTGACTGAGTTGGCCGCGCTCGACAGAGGAGAGGACGGACGCATCTGTGATTTCGCGTTTTTCCCTGGCGTCGAAAAACATCCCGAGTTCCCATTCAAAAAATAAATTATTTTTAGTTGTAACTTAACTAATCATACTGGAATTATATAGAATCCTAATAAATATCAAGTCTCAAAAGATACGTATGTATTATTATATTATTATACCACTTCGATGTTCACGCTGAATTTCATATCCATATTAGTAGAATATGTTTGACGCCTACGTTGGTACGTGATGTTTTACGGAAACCGGCAAACTAGGCCAGGCCCCGGCAAGGGAGAAAGACCTAAGAACTCCTGGCTTGATATCCTGGCCAACGATATACGTTGAAACGATGCGACCTAACTACGTTTACTACATTTTGCTTGTTTTTAGTTAGTCAGTTATATTAGTTTATTAGTACTTAGTAGGTTATTGTCTCTTTCTATTTAACCCAACCTAAAATGGAGGATACACAACACACAAAGTGTTGTGTTTAGGGACCTCTGGATATTATTACATATTTATTAAACAGAAGCTTATTTCATAATCGATAAAACAACAGCATTAACATTCATCGCCAAGAATAACATCGTCATGAACATACAACATTATTTTTAATGTTAGGTACATTCATTTACATTATAATTGTTATTAAATCGAATATATAACTTGAGTGTCCTAGTAATGTCAATATAGCAAAAATATATACTTAACCGAATAAATATTGCATCAGAAGTCGAAGCAGCAGAGTAGAATGTTTGTTTGTTAAGTGTGGGAGCTATGCTTCGACACGAATGGGCCGGCTCGACCGGAGCGATACCACGGCCTCACAGAAAACCGACGTAAAACAACGCTTGCGCTATGTTTCGTCGCGTGAGTGAGGTTACCGGAGGCCCAATTACTTCCCCTCCCCATTATCCCCAATCCCCGAATCCCCCACTATCCTCGAATTTCCAATTCCCAAAAGGCCGGTAACGTACTTGTAACGCCTTGATGTTTCGAGTGTCCATGGACGGCGCCGATTGCTTACCATCAGGTGATCCGTCTGCTCGTTTACCGGCTTATACCATTTAAAAACTAATAAAATTAATTAAATTAATTATTTAATTAAAAACATCGAAATATAATGAAAATTCGTTTATTAAACAGTTAAATGAGTTAAGAACATTGGACATATCACCCGTTTTATGACGTTGAAAACATGGCCTTTGCTCGCGTATTCAAATTGGCGTAATGAAAGCAAAGGAAATTAACCTCTACATTAAAAATGTTCACTATATTTTGTCTATTTTTACATTTACTCAATATTTCCGTATTCTTTGTGTGTGACTTTCAATTTTCAGGCCAATCAAAAACATGCTTTTATAAAATGGTTTTTCTTTATAACGAATTTCTTTTTCATGTCCGTTTGGATGTTCTGTAGAATAAAGAAAAATATTAGACGTCTATTTTTGTTTTCTTTTTATTTAAAAACTGTTCCATTATACATGTCTAACTGTTGTTTTTCCATTAGTTATTCATCATTACTCTTCCTTGTACAGAACAACAAAGATGTATAGAACAGACTACTGCATCATGGTCATTCATGTAGGTAGGTATTACTCAAACTATGTCTTGAATTTGATTCTCCAATGCCACACTTAATTATTGGGCATTCAATTAACTAAACTTATTTATCTTACATAGATCTACAAAAGGCAGCAAGAAAGGCAGCATAAATAAAAATTGCATAAAGAAAAAACATTACGCCCGTATCTAATAATATTTAATAGACAAACAAAGCAGGGTATTGAAGGCAGTCTACAAAATCGGCAACGATTAACATGCAAACAGTTTGGAATACGAACAATATTTAAATTAATGTAAGCATTCCTGTAAACAGGCGTCCCGATTACCGGCTAAAGTGACATGTCACGCTGTGGGCCGGCCGTAGTACAATGTACCATTAGTAGCCGGGAGGCCGTGTCCGTGATTAGTGCTTACTATATTCATTAGAAATTATGTCTGTCATTTTAAAGGGTGCAGTGAAATTATATTACTATTTAAATGAAGATATTGCAGGTATTTAACAATCTAATTGGAAATTATTGTTAGTTTCTTTATAACATAACATCACGCCTTTTGTCCCAGGTGTAAGCAGAGGTGCACATTACGATACTTTAAGCCACTATACAATGTAACACCCACTTTTCACTATTTATGTTATGAGTCCCATGTAATAGTGGGTTAACCTATAACTATATACCGGGCACAATTCCAGACTCCGGGGTACTTCTGAGATTTTGTTAAAAGCCCAGTAGTACTCGGCCAACGGGGCAGTCATAGTTTTTTTATGATTTTTGAAAATACATAGATTGATGATAATTATGCTAAATTAATATTGCTTTTAATTGTACTAAATGAATTAACAGATACAGACTCTGCAACCATGCTAATCTTTAATGCAATTAATCGAGTCAGGATTGCACAAATCTGATGCAATATCACGTCGTGATGAACAATCGAAGTAGAATAGTGCATTCCAAGTTTCCAAACTCAGTCTATCTTAGTTTTGAGTTATGACGTATCTAAGCGCGCGCAATGATGGGCCGTCGCTTACGGCCTCGCGCACAAGAAGATGGTAATGAGACCTCAACAATGTGCGAACAAACCTGCTTTTTTCAGTAATCAGAAAAGAGTAGCTTCGTTATATAACTTTGCCCCTACGTATATGTTAAACCACGCTTCACGTGACGTCACTGAAATCAGGTGATAATTCTCTTAAAATTATATTTCTTCATCAAGATCCCAGAACACAAGATTGGTTTCTGATAAGGACACCATGGCCAGGCCTGTTTATAATGCTGCTGTACCTAGCAACAATCTTCCGATGGCTTCCCGACTACATGAGCAATCGGCCGGCTTATGATTTAAGGAAAATTATCGCAGCATATAATGCTATTCAAATAGTGGGCTGTGCATATATCGCTTACAAAGTAAGTAGAAATGAAGTTTCTTCAGTAGTTCAGAAGTTTTCATTCATTTCAGTTATCTCGTAGCAAAAGATGACGACAGACTACTACGCGCTACGCGCTACGTCGTAGCTGTCGTAGTCGTAGTTAATGTAGCGTATTGTATCGTAATATTCCATCTGTTTGTGTATGACCAGCGTAAACCATAGTCATGATTTGCGAGTAAATAAATGTATTTTCTTTCTCCTTACATATATAAAAAATAATGAAATTACATCAAGAGTTCTTGTGACTTGATGAAATCTATTTAGGTCGCTACTTCAATAGGTATTCTAGCAACTTACGTTAGTAGACTATAGGTTCATTGTCATCAAATACCAAAAGTTCTAACTTACATATTTATTTCAGAGTCTAGCCCTAGGATGGCTAAGTCATTACTCGCTGATATGCCAAGGAGTAGACGATGGACCTGATAGCTTGGAATACGCCTGGACCGTGTGCTACGCATACTTCATCATGAAACTTGTTGATTTACTCGACACGGTACGTTATAATAACTTGTTTACTTATTTAAGTTACACATTCAGTGGTAGCAGAGAAGAATCGATTTGTCACCATCACTTCTATTCTAGAACTAATTTTGAAGCACTAATAAGCTTTACGCCTAGTTCGCACTACGCTAGTATTTTAGTCGAGTAGCGAATAATTTAGTTACTAAATCTATATCATAAATATTACGAGTGGTTTAGTAAGGTACTAACGCCCGAGTACTGAAATGCTTACTGCCAGAATTATTCTATAGAGGGCCTTAAAATTAAGTCTCGTTTGAGTATTTGAATGAATGATACATATATGTCAAGTCAAGTCAATTTTATTCTATTTTATCGGGCGAGTAGCACCTTCCAATATGAGAGGTACTACTCGCTTGGTACTAAATTACTCGCTACTTGACTACTTGACTAAAATACTAGCGTAGTGCACTACTGACATTCTGTTGAATTAAACCTTAGTCAAACTATTGTTTAATTCAACAGAATGTCAGTAGGTGTTATACATGCTAATTTCAAGCACAAAAGCATGCTTCAAATAAGTACTTGCCACACAGTATGTGTGTCGGAATGTTGCATAAAATGAACTCATTTTAGGCATGTTTACAAATCGACAGGCGTTCGATTTTTGAACATTTTTGAGCATGCTAGATAGAACGCCTTTTAGCATGTGTAACAGTACTTTTAGAGCTCGTGCACAAAACTGTGATGCGATGCGATGCAAATTCACATCGCGGAAAATTACGATGCGAATTGCTGCAATGCGATTTCGTGCGACAAGGCGTCTCCCAGGGTGACCGTCAACGTAAGTTAAACTGAACATTAGGTCGTGACATGGATCGTAAAAAAGTGTGCCCTTCTGTTATTGCTTAGGAGATACAGGAAAAAGAAAAGAAACGCGCGATGCGAATCAATTCGCAAGTTCTTGCGATGCGACGTCGCATCGCAGTTTTGTGTACGAGCCCTTACGTTACGTGAAGTGACTGCAAGCTGCTCAATAAATTTTACTAATTACATTTTGATTTGGTTCTTAAAACAATCAAGTATTCTTATAACATTTCTTTAGGAACAATACGGTTAAGTAATTAAAGACTCCTTACGTCTAGTATCCATAAAACATGACTTTTTTATTTTCAATGCTTTGTTTTCATTGTTATAACTGAATTTTAAATTGAATAATCGTATACGGTTTATTGACAGCAAGTAGGTATGCAAGTTCCGTTTTTAAAATAACATTCTGTTCCAGATATTCTTCGTCCTAAGAAAGAAACAGAATCAAGTGACATTCCTGCATGTATACCACCACTTTGGAATGGTGGCTGTCTCCTGGGGCATGGTCAAATGGGTTCCAGGTTAGTAACTTTTTTTTTTTTTTTTTAAGTCCCTACGTACTTACCTTCATATTTATAGAAGATAGTCTTTATTTACATCGCAAGGGTTACCACCGGTTACATCTTACTTTTTTTTTCTTTGACAACCGGGACTCCAAAACGATGTTGTCGACTATACTGCCAATGTCAAGTCACCAATCTTAATCCTTACTATCCTTACTAATATTATAAATCGGAAAGTGAGTTTCTTTGATTGTTTGTTTCGCTTTCACGCCGTAACTACCAAACAGTAAACCGATTGCTTTGAATTTTTGCTGATTTAAACTGTCAAACACCAAGCGGTCACCGGTGACCGCGACCTATTGTTCTTTAATTGTGTCTACAAAACCGGTACTCGACGAGTTAAAGTTAGAAGCCCGGGTTAAATAATAGGGTACGTACTTTTTATCCCGGAAAGATTTGATATTCCCGAGGGAAAGAAAAAGTATTGGTATAGATGGCGCTGTGTGTATTGGTATATGTCACATAGGCTACTTTTTATCCTTTTGTGACGCGAGCGAAGCCGCGGGTAAAAGCTAGTAATATTATAAATGCGAAAGTCTGTGACTTTGTGTGTTTGTGTGTATATTTGTTACTTAATCACGTCAAAACGGCTGAAGGGATCAAAATGAAATTTGGAACAGGGATAGTTTATAGTCTGTAATAACACATAGACTACTTTAATTTCCTAAGAAGACTCGGGCGAACCTGCGAGCAGAAGCTATTAGTTATACATATTATCGGATCAGGCAATACTGTTCTCAATTTTCAATAGTAGCACCCCTATTACACTGAACTTTAATTACTTCGGTGTTACATTTCACATGATCACCTTTGCCTAATAATTGCTTGGGGAAATAAAAAAAATGTTTTTTTTTTCTAAAATAAACTTAAGTTGTACCTCACCTCATTGTGACGATATTTCAATCATTTTGGACACTAAACTAAAATATGTGCCTAGTTTTAAATAAATTAACTTTTTGCTTGTCACACTTAAAACTATACTCCTAATTAGAATAAACGTGATTACTGCGTGCGCAGAAAACGAAATAAAAATGAACGTTATTCATAGTCTGGCTGAAAGTTAAAAACTGACTGAAAGTTAAGTTAGTTCAAATATTAATAAAGTCCAACTTTAACAACAGTTCATAAGAACGTACTGACAGACAGATGAGACTTCAAATTAACTCAGCATTTGATGAGTCTTCATACTGCTGTTCATTAAATTGTTTCGATTTATTATTGTGCCTATTTCATGTGTAAAATTTTTATGGGTTAATGTTATTGTACCTGAAATAAAGTTTATTATTATTATTATAAGGTCATACAGTAATGTTTGTCTATATGTAATTAATTTTGAGATGAGATGCGGCCAGACATTATTATTATGGGTATCTAAATGAAAGATACCTAAAATCTTAATAAAAAACAACTTAGGACAAAAAGGTCATTAACTAATAACTATTCTAACCAAAAAAATATATTTTACCAAAATGCGTGATTTCAATTGAATTCAAATTTTTGCACATATAGTTCGCATGATAATGACGGTCGTGTTTTTTCAGGGGGTCACGGCACGATGTTGGTGACGTTGAACTCGATAGTGCACATGATCATGTACGGGTACTACCTGCTGACCACGTGGGACGACTCCTACAAACAATCCATCTGGTGGAAGAAACACGTTACTCAAGTACAAATCGTAAGTGTTGCCTGAATTCATTCATTTTGCTCAAATTTATATTAGGTGATGTTGATGTTCAAAGGTTTTTAGTAATAGCAAGGAGTCTGGAATTGTCTCCAGTCAATTAAACTGTGATGAGTTTAATATCATGATGACTGGTAAAAGCTCCGGTGTGAAAGATTGTGTAGTTAGTTGTTAGGATGTTTTGTTTTTTAATGGATAAGCCGGTAAACGAGCACACGGATCACCTGATAGTAAGCAGTCGGCATCGCCCATAGATACCTGGAACACCAGAGGCGTTACAAATGCGTTAACCGGCCCTTTGGGGTTTAGGAATTTGAGGATTGTTGGAGATTTAGGGATTGGTGAGATTGAGGAAGGGAGAGGGGGGTATTTGGGCATCCGGTAACCTCACTCATACGTCGAAACACAACGCAAGTATTGTTTCACGTCGGTTTGTGTCACTGTGAGGCCGTGGTATAACTCCGGTTGAGTCGGCCTATTTGTGCTGAAGCATGGTAGGCCCACATACGATGATTTTCCCCCCTTAAAAAAAAAAAAAAAAAAAAAAGGCCCACACTCCACATGTAGAAAAAATGTGAGCAACTATAATTGAGCACAATTCTGGAGAATCGAGTGAAAATAAATTTAAATGACATTGTAATTGATTAGGTCCTGTGAGAATCAAGTGAAAATAAATTTAAATGACATTATGATTGATTACTGTGTACAAGTAGAGAATAAAGAAATAGGTTTGCTACGATCACTTGTATCTACACATGGGTACAAAGAAACGGAGCCACCAGCGTTTTGTTTTTCATTTTATCGAACATAATACTCACATTTTAAAAGTAACTAAATTGCTGTTCATACGTTATACGTTACCAATTAATTAAATACTTGTATCAGAAAATATTTATCAAGAAATAAAAAAGAAAAACTAGTGACTAACTAGCCTCTACAAGAATTTGAATACCTAATACTAGCTAATAATATTATATTGTAACGTTTATGTTATTGTATACATGACTACATGTTAATGTTAATTAACACTAATAATAATATTAACAAGTATTTGTTAGGTTGGTACCTGCATAGCAAAGTAATTCATAAATATCATGTGTGACTATATAACATACTAGCTTTTACCCGCGGCTTCGCTCGCGTCATAAAAGGATAAAAAGTAGCCTATGTGACATATATACCAATACATACAGCGCCATCTACACCAATACTTTTGTTTTCCCTCGGGAATATCAAATTATTTCGGGATAAAAAGTACCCTATTATTTAATCCAGACTACTAACTTTACGTCTGAAAAAATTCAATGCAATCGGTTTAGTAGTTACGGCGTGAAGTCGGAACACACAAACAAACAAACAAACTCACTTTCCTATGTATAATATTAGTAAGGATTGAACTAGTTCGCAATAGTAATTAGTTAATTAATTAATTAGATTTAAATAAATTATTATGTGACTGCTGCTTCTGAATTGCACGTGTTATGGCACGGTTTTATTTAGTGTGCCTCATTTGTTTGTTTGGGTCTTTAGTATCATTCTAATTCGCTAGATTCCGAGGTTTAAACAATTGTTTTTCAACTTTTCAATGCAATAAATATCTAAAAAATAATCATACTCTCATCCATTGATTTCACAATTTGATTTTGATTTGACGCAGAAATATGATGACGTCATAAGTTGCGATCTAGTACAAAATTCATAGAAAAGTATCGTTTTTGACATTTCAATAAAAGTATTGAATTTGACTACCTGTCAACTACCGTATTGAACGACTGATCGATCTTTTATTTGATACTGACACGCTCTTAATCTTGATAACTATAGGTACACCGGTACATAGATACACAGGTTTTACATAATAAACACTCATTATGTATTATATCTGCTTCGTTAGCCGAGTGGTCGCAAGCGCGACTGCCAGGCAAGGGGTCTCAGGTTCGATTCCCGGGTCGGGCAAAGTAGTACTGGGTTCTTCTGTAATTCTCAGTAGTAGCACGGAGTCTGGAATTGTGCCCGGTATATGGCAATAGGCTCACCCCCTATTACATGGGACTCATAACATAAATAATGAAAAGTGGGCGTTACATTGTACAGTGACATAATGTGCACCTCTGCCTATCCATCGGGGATAAAAGGCGTGATGTTATGTTATGTATTTTGAATCTAGCCAATTTTCATACACAAATATCATTTAATTTCATTACACACTTTACCTATTAAGTATACTTAAACGGTATCATTATTATTGTCTGTGTTGTGACTTCAGTTCGAAAAGGTCATTCACGTCATTTCCTCACGGTATAGGTAGCTACGTAAATAAGCCGATTATAAAATACCGAAACGAAATTATTCGTTAACCTTAGACATAGGTTCATAGGCTAATCAATAAACTGACGCAAATACTATTTTATATTTAATCCTATAAAAAATTGTATTTAAATTGACTGGATATAACGACTATAATAGGGGAATGTCGTGTACCTAATATGTCGTGAGGTCGATTAGTGTAGGTATAGCACGGAGCAATATACCTATTCTAAATAATACCGTTTAAGAACTGTCCGTTCGGCACACTAGTTATGACTAGGTACCAGCTGCTTCGATTACCTAGACTGTTCTGGTTCCGTGTGATCAGTACAGTCTTTACCTGGGCACTCAGAGCCCGTGCCCATGGCGCCCCATCCTCGTATACTTAGTGACTAAAATCGAGAAATGATGTATGTTAGGATGGATTTACCATGTTGAAAGAATGGACGAAAGTAAAATTATGGAAAGTGCCTTTTGCCATTAACTCGTCGAGTACCGGTTTTATAGACACAATTAAAGAACAATAGGTCGCGGTCACCGGTGACCGCTTGGTGTTTGACAGTTTAATTTGCGTTTATAACACGGATTTGAATGTAATTGGTAAACTACCCTGTAGGAACCGCTCGTAACATTAATGTTCCCGTTAATGTTCTCTAAGAGACAAGGAGGACGTATGTTGATCTCATTGCCATGGTTAGGTACAGTTCGCTCTTTACACTTGTACGCCAAAATACAGAAATATGATGAAGCTAAATAAGAACGGATATGCAAAAATCATAGTAGTAAGAGCTCTATTTTTTTGGATCCTATATCTAGAGTAGGCTCTAGATATAGGATCGATCTTTTTTGATATGTATGTAAACACTTACCTATAGAATAGAATACTTAATCGTTATTGGTAATATGGTACATATAGAAAAAATGGGCACACAGACGGTCTTATCACTTATAATGATTTCTACCAGACAACCTTGGGGTGGATATAATGCAACGTAAAAGAAACAATTAGACGGGATGTGTACTACGAATAAAAAAAAACGTATGTAAAAACTTGTTTTCCAGCTCCAGTTCACGCTTCTGCTGTTCCACTTCATATCGCTGGTGACGTGGCCTGAGTGCAACTTCCCCCGCCAGCCTGCTTACCTGCTCATCCCACAGAACTTGTTCATGGTCATACTGTTCTCAGACTTCTACTACCGCTCTTATATCAAGTCTAAAAAATCGTAATACATGTTGAAACATTATCGTCTTTTTTTTGAGGGGGGAGACCCTATAATATCTCCTATTGCTGATTAAATACCACTCCGTTCCAATTCCTGCTTCGAGTCAGGGCCATCATCGGTGAGGGAAACAAAGACGTTTTGATTTTTCAATTAATTAGACTTTTGTTTAATATTTCCTTATTACTAACTTATAATCTAATTAAGTAAGTACCTACGTGCAGGAAGCCGCAGGTAAATACATATAAAATTAACGTAGCATCATTTTTTCGTTATAAGTGTTTTGAGTCGCTATAAATGTTGTTGAAATTCTTGGTTCGACAACAAAACTGAATTTGAGGTATCTTGCTTGCAAGTCGTAGACTACTACTGGACCTACGCTGTAGATGTATTGTATACAGTACCTAAAAGTTATAGCATAGAAATAATATTACGAAAATCGAACACAATCCAATTATCCAATCAAATCGTACCTCATGATCTGTAATCACGAACAGTATTGGAAATCTTCTATCACAAAAACAACATAACTCATAACTTTACTGGCATTATAAACACGATAGTGGGTTTGTTTGTTCGAGTTTGCTACACGTTTCGGTATTTTATGGTATTATTTTTGTATCTGCAAATGAGGAGGCTGAAGATTAATGTGTTTACTACTTTACTTTTTTTCATTGACGATGCGCGTGATCCGCGCCGCGTGCGTAAAACTAGTCACTATATATTTATAATTATGTAGCAATACTCGTAAACACACGCAGTTCCATTCACATAAACAGCATAATAACGTATTTCCGCATCTCATAGTTATGTAGCAAAAAGTGATTGCACAAGTTAGTTCTCATTCTTTGCAAATTATAACTAGGCTTGATCTAGATTCTAGATTACTAGATGCCTACACATCTTCACTAATTACCTCGCTACAATCAAGGAAATAATTACGTAGGTTGGTACGTTAAAAACAAACGCATTATCTAATTAAAATAATTCTTTATTTATACATGAAACATTTTTTCAATATTCTAATCCGACAATTCCATTGCTAATATCACAATTTTATACATTAAATCATAAAAAATATAAGTACCTTTATATTTCCGTGTTACATTGGCTACATTATATTCTTTGTTTATCAATCAACTACGTATTAACATTCAAGTGAGAGAAATGATTGAAACCATCGAAGCCGAACCACGGGAGCCGCGGAAGACTTACCGGGTTGCTGAGGCTCCGGCTTGAGAGCAGGAGTAGGAAAGCGTTGGTTTTAGTCAGTAAGAGTATGACACTCCCTCTTGCCTCACCCAAGACGGGAAAAGATATTGGATGTATTACCGTCCTCAAAAAAAAGTGAGGAAATTAATGAATTTACTGTTCTTCCAGAGCAATTTCGTTCCATAATAAATAAATGGGACTATTTAGTGAACAAACTTCGCATTGACTCCTAAAGGTTGAGTGATAAACAAAAAGAAATTTTACATACACTTAGTCTAAAGTTTTGTGCACCTTCACAGACACTATTTTCGAAAGAATTATGGCACAAATCGCCACTATATCATCATAAATGAGCGGAAAATATTTAAAAAAACACGTGAACGGTACATTCAGCCAAGCACTAAGTTCTCATATAGTACTTTAAAATTTAGATTATAAACTTCTAAAAATATATATGACGTCACACATCGAACTCGTACAAATTAGCATCTAATGAAATGGAACAAAATATTTAATTTCACATTTAGGTACTGCACCACAATTACCTACAGTTACAGCCTGGCTGTTATCACCGATCACTCTGTAACCGATCAATTAGTTTAGTTTAAAATTCCGACGACCTACCTAACATGCATAGCGCGAATTATAGTCACACTTAGTAAAAAACTTTCAAGTCTATCATTTGATATCACAGTCCATCAAAACAGTTTCGTAACAACCGATTTTCCTTCGCTATATTTTTTAATGTTACTTCCAATACCGGGAAGTATTTTATGCGCACACGCACATAAACAAAGTTACTTCTATAAAATACCTAAGTCGCTTTTACAAATACACCGTATAAAAAAAAAGTTTCACTTTTACTTAAGACTAGAAATACATAATGCCTACAATGCTACACCATGAAGTTAAATAGTTTTCATTCCGAACTAAAATGGTTCTGTCCCGGTAACACTATAGTATTACAAAGAAATAAAATGTTGAAAACAAAAAATAATTAGTGAACCATTGCAAAAAGTAAACTTCGTTACGACCAATTTACATACTACAAATTTACATCTGGTATCTCATGTGCGTAATTGTTTTTTAAACTATGTAAATGACATCTTTATTTTTGTTACTTATGCCAGGTTATTTTGCTGCGGGACGAAAACGATATAAATTTCACGGTGTATAAAAAGCCAGTCAGACAATCTATGAAACACTGTATTTAACTGAGACGAGCGAATAAATTCTGTTTAACGAGATCGATAACATTGGCTTGACTGTATGAGTCAATCACCGCTTTGGTGAGGCACAGTGCAGTCGTGGACCCATCTATCTCGTCATCACACAACGGCCTGTCTCTATTCGCGTACTCTAAGAGATTCTGTTTAATTATCTTTATCAATTCCTCGCTACTTATACTCAAAGGTATTTCTAAATTATTAGCTTTATTCTCTAATAAAGTTTTAAAGTCGTAGTGTTCGATGGCGGCAGGCGCCGGTTCGTCCTCGCAGGTCCTCTGTCGTTTGGCGCGCCGCAGCTTCCGTCGGTTGTCGAGATACGCATTTGCAACTGTCTCTAATTGTAAAAATAGCACAGACAACGGCGTATCCGCTATGTCGTCCTGAAATTGAAATTGTACATAAGAATTACGTATAATTAATCAGGAAAGTTTCAAAAGATGTTATCATACGTATGTATTCACTGCAAGGGTCGTCTATAAAATATTTAATCAGTTTCGAAAATATAATAGTTTCAAATTTTCACACAATTGTACTAGACTTTGGGTCAAGTCTTGTACAGGTTTAGATATAAGGTATCCTACAGTATACTACAGTACATCAATACCTAGGCAGAGGTAGTACTTAGGAACGGTACACAGAGAAACATGAAACTGTCGAGCAAGTCTAATGTAACATAAACACGCAGATGAGGTAGTCAACCGCATCGAAATGTAATTAGCAGGCAGGGCCACGTTCGTTCGTAGCTAATAAAATCATAATAAACTCTTAAGTCGTTACGCTTCATGTAACAGTATCACATAAAATGTAATTGGTCCTGGCTTGTGCCCAACTACAGTCTAACCTTAAATTCTAAAGGAATTCAGGCGTAAACGTAATGGTGCGTCCACATCTGGCGAATGAGCTGCCCGCGAGATTGAATATTTTTATAAACAATACTTGTAGCGTGATCTACAATCGATACTGAAGCCAAAAATATGGTTTTTAGAATTTTTGTCTCTTTGTCTGTATGTATGTCCGGGATGATCTCAAAAAGTAGGTACTGCATGGATTTACTTCAAATTTTGCATGAATATAACGGACTATTCGGGTCAACATATAGGCTACATATTATCACGCTATCATCTACAGGGGAGTCGCGGAGAACCTAACTGGTAACCGGGGCTCCGGCTCGACGTGCAGGAGAAAGAACGGGGTGATTTTTAGTCAGTAAGAGTCTGACACTCCCTCCCGCCTCACCCAGGCGGGAGCAGTCATTCGATGATTTTCCCCCCTTAAAAAAAATAATCTACAGGGGAGGAACCCTATACTAGGTACTGAATCAATTCTGACGACATTCGTTACCGTAGAATATCCCTTGATAAACACCTAAATTCTGCCAGAAGTCATTATTCTACGCGAACGAAGTCGCGGACAACAGCTAGTTCTTGTCACCTATTATTTTCTTTTATTACAGTAACTACTATTAAGATTCCCAAAACAAATATCGGAATAGTAAATTCGGTCATTTGTTTATATGTATAAATGAGTAGACACACATTACCACATATGTATATGGTCAACGCGTTTGCTACCGCTGAACAAAGAGGGCAGCCTATTATTGTACAGATACTTGAATATAATAATGGTCATGTACGAATCGGCCTTGTAATCTTAATATCTTAAATGCACGAATGCACATGATTTCACTTTCGTCGCTGACTGTTTACCTCATATAAATAAGTAGTGCGTCTACTCTGAGGTCGCAGGTCGCCTTAAACTGACTTCGATTTGGAGACTAAAAGTCATTGAGGGAAGCCAATGTTCAGTAGTAGACGAATTGCGGCTCGTATGACGATAATAGTGACTCATGTAAGTAAATTATTTAAGTACACAGTATTAGTATGTCTCTACAACAACGTGTTAACTTCATTAGAGACAATTTTAACTTACAAAATCGCTTATGCATACAGTTACAGTCAACTTTATTACATAGAAATTTGCTCATCATTAAGTTTAAAGTGACATTGCATGCAAAAGTAAGTACCTATCTACCAGATTGAATAGGACTATAAAGAAAGTTTAAATACACTGAAAAACACCCGTACGAAAGCTTAACAGTCCGTTTTAGTAATTGCAACATTGTAATATGAGAGATATGTATGTATTTATAGGTTTTAATAACACATTACTTATTGTAAGAGTGTTACATGCACTTTATAATTATCCTTGACCGTGTCAAGGGTATAAAATACATCGAGATCAGTTACATGACTATTTTAACAAGTAACAATGCAATTGACTCATTGATGCACTATCGCAACTAATCTCACATGATACAATATATTATGGTAGACCATTCAAGCAAAGTCAAGGTCTTAGGATATCCTCCAATTATTACCTATAGGTCTATAGGATATAATAAGAATCCATTAGTTTAATACCTCTGTAGCAAATTGTCGAGGCATGACATCAGTTACTGACTCATATGGGATGAGTAAATTGTTACCATTACTAAATCAATATAAATAAAACGTAACCCAAACGAGGCGCTGGAGGTTGAATGAAGTACAGACGACGCACGACTGAAACTACTAAACGAAGCAAGGTGAAATATTGCGAAATTTTTCTTGGAGTGAAGCGCTAAGAATGGATTTCTCGAAATATGTATTTGTCGAAGCGATTGAAATCTCCGCAATTCAAGTCTCCGCAAAGCAATACACATTTTCCTTCTGAGAGGAAAAATAAACTACGTTAGACTCGCGAATTCCTACAAATACGCCCTAATTCGTTTCATTCCCATATTGGAAACGACTATTAGAGCGTAAGCTCAGTGGTTTAGTAGTGACGGTGAATGTCGAGTGGTGGTCTGAGGTGGTCGAGACTACTACCGCTGTTTCGAAAGCGAAAGTACAATAGTACTTTAATCTGTCAAACACCAAGCGGTCACCGGTGACCGCGACCTATTGTTCTTTAATTGTGTCTATAAAACCGGTACTCGACGAGTTAATACCTTTGAAAGCCTTATTTAATATATATACTACCTCAAAAACTGTAGGTACTATAATAGATGCGAAAAGACGCAAGCAATCGGCGCGCAACACCAGAGGAGTTACAAATGCATTGCATGCGAGGTTGGAGACATTACTCTGAATTTCGAAGATAGAAAACCACCAATTACCTACTTTAAGTCTTAAAAATCTAACCCTAAAGCCCTTCTTTGGTCTGCTATAGTCATGATTGCACTTCGAGTAGAAAGGCAGTCATGACAAACAAGAATGGTAACTTCCAAAAATTTGCATCTTGAGGTGTGCAAACTTGTTTATGTTTAGGCAGATGACACATACATACCTACTTGAATAAAGGTCAAACTCACAATATGTGTATAAGTACCACTTATTATTTCAAATGAATAATTTGGCAAACATCCAAATATTGTGTTGAAAACTGTTTAACTCTCATTACCTTGGAGTATTATTATTCATAATAATTTTACACCATATTGTTTCATTTATGAACAATGGACATAAAACAAAGCACTTTTTCTGTTATGTAATTAATTTCTTTCCAAGTTTTATTTTATAAAAGGAATTGCTCATAGAGATACATACTCCTTTTTTTTTCATAAATTAATGTACAAAACATACCTCATTTGGATTAACAATCAGCTTTGCAGTTTCTTGTGGCAAATCCTTACATATTTGGGCCACAAATATTTTGATGAGGGCTTCAGATACTCTTGTTGAACCATCTTTTTCCTATAAATAAGACAATGTATTTGTAAGAACACTCAGAACAATGTATTTGTAAGAACACTCAGTTTCAGAAAAGACATGAAATAAAAAATTATAAACATACATGTGGCAGCCACATATTAAGTGCTATGTTCAGTGGATCTAAATTCTGTACATAATGCCACCAGCCCCTGGGTACCAGGAGAGCATCACCAGCTGACAGTTCCACAGAGCGAGCTCCAATCAGACCTGAAACCATATATTACTTAAGCTATATCTATTTTAAACTTAAACAATTTATAACTATGAAAAATGCTATTATTCTTTGTAACTCACCATTAAAAACTTCTAAATTATTTGGACAATAGAAGTTAAGTTCACTATACACACTTGACTCTTCATAAGGTACTCTTGTTGGCTTTAAACCACCTGTTTCAGGTGGGAAAAGAATCCACCGTTTTCTATGAAAAACAATATTATTAGTTTTATAATAACTAGTTTATCTTTTCACATGATCATTGAAAATTGTCATAGGTACTTACTTTCCATACAACTGAGTCACAATATTTACTCCATATGTGTCTTGATGTGCTGGTGTGTGTGCACCACTACTGCCCACCCACAGTGTCGCATCCGAAGCACCTTTGTCGGAATACCCAAACTGTTGCCATGAAACACCCTAAAATGTATAACAGAGTGTGTAAGTTTTGTATGATGTAATAACGAGATACATCGTCGAGTTCCAGACGTTAATTACCTTATACAACTCATCGTCTCCATTAAACCATTGATAAAGGTATTTATAATCGAAGTACATCCATTCGTCGCTTGATGCAGATGTATCAACAAAATTTTTGAAGGACATTCTTTTAACAGAACATCGTCGTTCCCAACAAGGTTCGTCTGATAAGAAATCTTTTTTTAAACATCTGAATGGTATCTCTTTTTCTCCAAAAACTGAACACCATTTCTCTACATCCCATTGGCATAATGACCAATTTCGCACATAGCCCCGGAACACCAATGGTACACTGCAATTCGCTACAAGATTGCGAACAATATCTTCACTAAGTACAGACATTTGTTTAAAGTATGTGTTCACATAAATTTCATTTATAAAATCAAGTCATTCAAACATTAATGATCTAACGATGAAGTAATACAGCTTTAACAACACCGTACTTTTACGATAGTTAGCAAGAAACTGACAAGAGGGCAAGAAAATCAACAATTTTGCGTTGACAGCAAGAGGGTTGACAGTTGAAAGATTTATCAGCTGTTTATTTTGTAGTTTTTTTACAGTACAAATTTTCGTTCGAAAATGGATCACGATTCACGAAATACGATAAATCTATTTCAATGTTTATAACTTTATGAATATTATCTTTATACTTTACCAAATTAATAATGTAAATGCTAGCTAACTAGCAAATGATAAGCTAGACTTATTAACAAATTCGTTCTGAATTTATACAAAGACAACTGACACTGCTGAGTGCTGTTTTGTCAAATTAAAATTGTGTTTGTTGTGTTGTGCTTCTGCCTTTCTGCCTGCATCACAAACATTTAATTTATCTACTTAGACACAACATATGCCTATACTTCGGTGCGACCATAGTACAATAATATACTACGCTTGTTTTTAGACCATGGGTGCGGCAAATTATGTCATTTAAGGATAATATCAATCAGCGATAAATTCGTAAGTGATAAAAATGCAGTGTGCAACAATATAATCATTAATTATTAGCATTAGTGAACTGCAATCTTACTAACCATGGAAACCGAAGTAGTATCATCGTTTTTTACAAGTTCTTCTGGAGAATCCAGTTCCGAAGACATCAGTGATAAGTTTTTACATTTAGTAGATGAATTAAATTTATCTCTTGAACAGTTTCAAATGCCTGAAAGAGTAAAAGCGGTTTATAATCCCACCATTTACGCTAGAGAACCACTTGAAATGTATGTGCGTAAATATTGCAACACACCGAAACCTATTATATTCTTTGGTATGAATCCAGGACCTTTTGGAATGTCTCAAACTGGAGTAAGGACCACTTAAAATACATGTCTGTAGTTAGTTGTTGTGATAGATGTATGTAATACGTTTAGTAATTAATTTTTTCATATCAACAAATTGAGTTTTAAGAAATGCCACACATTTCGCATACTTATTACTTATTCAAAATACCTAATTAATGTTTCAGGTACCATTTGGTGAAATAAAGGCAGTTCGAGATTGGCTTGGCATTACTGGATCAGTGGGGAAACCACCAGTTGAAGTAAAACGTCGTGAAGTTTTGGGCTTTGAATGCAAGAGATCTGAAGTAAGTAGAACTAATATAGACAAAAACACTTAATGATCTTATAGTGTGGATACCAAAAAAAACTTGCCATTTAGCTTCTTAGCATCTTTTCTCTTTACACAATCTATCAATTTTTTCCATCCTTCGTATTTGAATTCAGCACTCACTTGTCTCATAATTATTATTCTTGCTCATCACATTAGGTCCGGTACCGGGTTTGAGCGGCGACAAGGGACAGAAGAGGGGTGAATCAATATTATGAAGAATTTCCTTATATCTATTCACCCCTCTTCTGTCCATCTCTATTCACCCCATTTTACGGTACTGCAACCCTCCTAAATTTCTAACCTTTCTTCCATTACCCAGCAACATTATTACACAATCGTATCTTACTATAATATTATATATGCAAAAGTTTGTATGTTTGTTCGTCTCTCATCTCTCATCATCATCGCAAAATGGCTGATGGCATGAGGATGAAATTTGGAACAGGTGGCGTATTATGATGTCTTAAAGCCAGAATGGTTCCGCTGAGTCAACGAGATCTCGCTAGACAACTTGTATAGCTGTTTCTTTCCCACAAAAAAAACATTCTGACTTTAGGATGCCATAATAACCCCACAAGAGTGGATTATGATCTGGAATAACACATAGGGCTCTTTTTATGCCACATAAATGTGGGCGAAGCTAGTTTGTAATATTTTTACAAATAAAATTTCAGGTTAGTGGTCAAAGATTTTGGGGCCTGCTTAAAACTTTGTTGGGACCCCGGAAAATTTCTTCAAATCCAGTTTTGTTTACAACTACTTGCCTCAGCAGTGGATGACAAGCAGTGGACGAAATTTAACTCCAGGTGATTTCAATGTAAGATATACCTAATTAATTATTTATTTCCAATTGGTTTATTATTTAGTATAGGACATGGAATTTATATATAGAACATGGTGTTAAGACCAGATACAGTGAGTTTATTTCAATACACCAAGTACTATTTCGAAATTTTAACCCATTTGGTCCAAAAAAGAACACTTGCTATTTTTGAGTAGGTATTTTAGAAAATGTAAAGTACATTCATCTCGATAATCTAAACAAATAATATCCTCTAGTCATAGCAGATAAGAATGTAACATAATATACATAAAATCCACTGTACAATGTAACACCCATTTTTAGTGAAAAGTGGGTGTTACTGTTATGAGTCCCATGTAAAAGGAGGATAGCCTATTGCCACATACCGGGCACAATTCCAGACTCCAGACTTGTGAATCGAACCCTAGACCTAGACCCCTTGCCTAGCAGTCACACCTGCAACCACTCGGCCAACGAGGCAGACAAGAATGTATGTGAAACTAATTTATTACAACTTTCAGAAACCTGAGGTACAAGAATTATACAGAATTTGTGACCGTGTATTTCACAAAGTGCTTGAATTGTATGAAGTTGAGATTATTGTTGCCATTGGAAAATTCTGTGAAACTAGAGCTAAGGAAACTTTAAATACATTCTCTCTTTCAAAACCTATTAAGGTATGAATTTCAAACATGTAATTATTATTGTACGTTCTTTTTTGTTAGTACCGGTGTGCATAATTTTGTATGTTTACATTTCAGATTCTGTACATGCAACACCCAAGCCCCAGAGTACGAAATAACAACAACTGGATAGAGAAAAACATACTCTTTTTTAAAGAAAATAATCTCCTTCAGTATTACAAGCAGCCTTCAGTATAAATAAAATTACAAGACTTGTGATATTAAATTAGAATTAATAAATATATTGCTAGAGCTGCACACTTTTCAAAATATGGTTGATTTTATGAAGAGAGCCCTTGAATTAGCATCAGAAGCTTTATCAGCTCAAGAAGTACCTGTTGGTTGTGTTTTTGTTATAAATTCCGAGATTATTGCAGAGTCTAGAAATATTGTCAATGCCACACACAATCCGACACGACATGCAGAAATTAATTGTATTGATTCTGTTATAGAACATTGTAAAACTAATAATATAGACTACATGTCATATTTTCAAAATGTAACTGTTTATGTAACTGTAGAACCTTGTATTATGTGTGCAGCTGCTCTTAGTAATTTAATGGTAAAAGAAGTTGTATATGGTTGCGCCAATGACAGATTTGGTGGTAAAACTGTATTAGATATAAGTAATTTTTATGAATATAATTATAATTTGGTTGGGAATCTAATGGCAAATGAGGCCATGGCTTTACTGAAACAGTTTTATAAAGGTGCTAATCCCAATGCTCCAGAGTCTAAAGTGAAAAAAGATAAAACTTTAACTATAAATTAATATTTATTAAGGAAAGTATGTTCATATTTATTAATCACAGGACTTTTAACACATTTATTTAGTTTTCATTGTGAAAAACTTGCCAACATGTTTAGAATTTTTGATTAATTTTATTAATAGTTTAGATAGATGGTAAGATTTCTATTGATTAGAAATGATAATTTGTGCAATGAAACAAAATAAACTATCATTTAAAAAGAGTTGTTTTAATTAAATGGATGATGTCCATAAAAATATGGGACAGGTAAATAAGAGTACACATTATACTTCTGACATAATAACTGTAATTAATGGCGCAGGCGCAGACACGATAGGGATCGTGTTAAAATATAAGTATAGGTCTCATAAATTATATAAATCTATTTCTACAAAGTACCTGACATGTTCAAATTTGGTTTAAAACACAAAAAGACACCCATACACATAACAAATCCAACAATGTCCATAAAATATACTTAAGAATATATAATTATACAAAATAAATGATTACTCACTACAACATTTTTACTTACAACTAGCTTATTATTATATCCCACTGTATAAAACATAAAAGTGAGATCTTATTGGAAATAAAAACAATTTATTACAATATATTACTACTGATAAAATATCCACAAGGATATCACAGAATAATTTCACTAAATCTAAATTGAGATCTCACATTTACATTCCCACAGTGTTTTACAGGAAAGAATGCTTGAGGACTTTTGTACAGTAGGGTGCTAAGTATAACATAATAGTATAACAAGCATGTCACTAAATGCATGTATTTATAATCACACATTTATCCGCAAGAAGTAAACTTGTCCACTGTCGAATAGAAATAAAAGCAGAGTAAAGATATTCAAATACTGCCCAACAAATTTTACAGCACTTAAAAAAATTACCTACAGACTAGGTACTTAAAACTTAATACAACTGATTTAATCATTTGAATCATGACAACCATTAACCAATGGGTATGGGGCCCCTGACCTTCAGTCTCTTCATTTTGGCCATTAACATGAACACAATTTTCATTATTCAAATTGTCTTCAACTAAATATTCTTCACCAACTGGGTCAGCAATGGGGCTTGTACTCCCACTAGAGCTGCTGTCACTATCTGATGAGGATGAACTATCACTTTCAGAGTCTGCACTTGATGAATCCTGAGAATGTTGTCTTAAATGTTCAACTTCAAGTCTCAACTTCTCATTGTCTATCTGTAGTGAACGAATTTGCTCTTCCTGTTCCTTCAGGCGCAACATTAAGTCGCTAAAAGATTGATCTTCTACCACACTGGACCCAACAGAAGTGCCTGAAGTGTCCCTGTCAGTTAACATACTATCCCTGTCTGTAACTGAAGTATCCCTATCATTTGCTGTCATGTCTTTGTCTTCTTCAATGCACTTCGCTTTAGAACGTTCAGTTCTTTTTACGAGATTATCATATTTCGCTTCCAAAAAGAGATACTCTTGAACGAGATCATCTTTTGACATATTCGATAAACGTTCACTTTGAGCATCTTCATATACACTTGAAAATTCCTTTGTCAAATATTCCTCTTCGTCTTCGGGTAAAGAAAAGAAATAATTATCTTCAGAGTCCACACTAAAACTTGAATCGCGAGTCCTTGCTGACGGTGTTCGTAACAGTTGGAAAGAATTTTCTGGTTCGGGTTTATGTATTTCCATTAAGAATTGGTTGTTATTAAAAGGTGCGTGGGTTTTTGCCATCACAATTTTCCTGAATCTGTTATTTCTTTTAGATTTTTCATTTTTACGCCGATCCTGCCAAGGTATTTTCGAAAAAGGTTTCATGATTTTACGTTTAGATTTCCCGCGCCGCCGTTTTTTCTTAAGTCCTTCAAGTTGTTTCGGTACGTCCACAGTAGATGGCGCATCTACTTCGCCTGGTCGCGTCTGATCGCCATCTTTTATAGCGATAATATTATTTCCGTCCATTTGAGACAAAACAGCACAGTTATTTAGAATTAAAACTTACTTTTTATATGAAAACATAAATAATCGCACTGATATTACAACTTTAACACCACTATGACTATATGAAATCCTGATAAAAGTACATTGTTCCACGGAGCACTGCACTGAGGACGCAATCCGCCATCTTTATTTATTTATTCATTCATTGTTACATTTTACTACCACTAGCTAGATAGGTGACGCAGTTAGGGTTGCCTAATCTTATGTAATTTTTAACATGACTAATAAAATATTGATGTAATTATAAAAAATCATGATCACTCATCTCCAAACAAGAGTTCGAACAGTTGTGTTATGTTTTAGTGTTTTAGTTTTGGTCTTTGCTAAAAAGCCATAATATCTCGCAATAACTAATAGGAATTAGTGAAACCTTGTGGGATAAAGGGACGATTTTTCAGATAAATATCGAGTAAATATCTTTTCCTCTATTATAATAGGAAATGAATACTTAGCTGTAATCTCATATAAAAGCTGAAGAGTTTGTTTGTTTGTTTGAACGCGCGCTAATCTCAGGAACAACTCGTCCGATTTGAAAAATTCCTATTGTGTTGGGAAGTGCATTTATTGAGGAAGGATATGAAATATCATGCTATGATCGATCAATAGGCGTAGATCAGAGCGGATGAAACCGCTTGGAAGTAGCTAGTCTGTACAATATATACATACCGACTTTTCGCAAATCGCGTCATTAGATGATGAGGAAACATAATTTACAATTAATTTGGGACTGTAATAGATATTGCAATAGTTTTAAAGGATTCAACACTACTGGGTAAATGAAAATGAATGCCGAAATGCAAAAAATAAGAAAATTGAACTTAAAATGATAACTGTTTTCACTCACCCACATCGTAAACTTATATAATCCTTATCCTTATCCTTACTAATATTATAAATCTGAAAGTGAGTTTGTTTGTTTGTTCCACCTTCACGCCGTAACTACTCAACCGATTGCTTTCAATATTTGCAGACGTAAAGTTAGAAGTCCGGATTAAATAATAGGGTACTTTTTAACCCGGAAAAATTGATATTCCCGAGGAAAAACAAAAGTATTGGTATAGATGGCGCTGTGTGTATTGGTATATGTCACATAGGCTACTTTTTATTCTTTTGTGACGCGAGCGAAGCCGCGGGTAAAAGCTAGTTACTTATAATTTGTAAATTAATAAATTATATAATTTTTCAAATTAATTGAGTGAATGCACTCACAAAAAATAAATTTAGTTGATTGCTACTTTTTGTAACAAAACTAGCTTCCGCTAATGACTTCTCCGCGTTACCGTGGGATGGAAAGTAGCTTATCTGTTGCTCCAGAACTTTAATTTACCCACTCCATTTTAAAATTTAATCCCGATACCCTAAAAAGAATTTTGAAGTGATTGAGTAACAAACATAAACACAAATGCATAAACTTTCGCAAAATTTGTATTTTTTCTAGGAAGTAAATTTTAACATGTAAATGAACAATATTTTTCAATAAGTAAATTAATTTGATTTGTTTTCTAATAGGACGTTATTGTTTAAAATATTACTTCCTTTTCTATTTCGTTTTTTATTATTTATAATAATAGCTCGCATAGCAATGTACTATAATGACAGCTCTATATTCTATAGACAAAATTGTAAATATTGCAAACGTCAATCAAACGTCAACCAGTCAGTCAACGCAAAATATTGATACCCGAAAAATATCAGATAAATAGTTTGTCTGTTGTTTGATTTTAATAAAACAACTCAGACTAGATACAACTTTAGCTTTGAAGACATTGTTCATTCCAATATTGTATTATATGGAAAGTCTCCAGTGAGCTGCTAAAAGCAATAGCAATGGCCGACGATATTGTGTTTGAATTATTGCATTCCGAAATAATAAATTACGCTTTAGATCAATCAAAGGATAATGCCAATGATAAAAAGGTTGTTATAAATAGCTTTAATGTAGAATTTGTATTTATAAACTTATTTGACGAATTTACAAATACAATCTTACATGACTTCAGGAGGTGGACCTGTCTGTCGTTGAGTACATTGGATTTGCTGCAGGATATAAAATAATGGAAAGACTAACCAGAGAGTGGCCCAGATTCAAGGATGAACTGGATACAATGAAGTTCATTTGCACAGATTTTTGGACATGTATTTATAAAAAACAAATTGATAATTTAAGAACTAATCATCAAGGAGTTTATGTGCTACAAGATAATGCATTCAGGTTCCTTACTAACTTTTCTAATGGACATCAGTATCTAGAGTTTGCGCCAAGAGTAAGTATCCGTAATAATTTGAGAATATGTTTTATAATAACTTTCATGAGACATACTAAATTGATTGTTAATTGAAATATAGTACAATGTTGTGTATTTACTGGATTATTATCGATTCTTACATACTTCTTTCCCTTCATTAACAGTCTTTAGACTTTTCATGAGTGTGCTTGTCGGTTTGTCGTAGCAATTGGCATTTTCTAGTCTCTGCCTACACCCAGACAAGCATGAAGTTATATAAATATGTATATATTAAACTGTCAAACACGGAGCGGTCACCGGTAACCGCAACCTATTGTTCTTTAATTGTGTCTATAATGATGGTACTCAATAAGTTAATTTTGATTTATATGTATTTTTTTTTTTTCAGTATGTTGCATACACCTGTGGATTGATCCGAGGAGGTTTGGCTAACTTGTGCATAAACAGTGTGGTCACAGCAGAAGTCCAGTCCATGCCGTCTTGTAAATTTCATATACATGTCCAAAGAACTTAAATATATTGTTAAAAATGTTGGATATATTTATATTACTATGAAATAAAAAATATTTAATCATTTTTGTGTATGTTTTTATTTATTTAGTGTTAAACGTTGATCTGTATAGTCTAAGGACACAGGAGGAAAGGTTCATGGAGTAAAGGCCAAGAGTTTATAGATTTATTCTTATAATACCTTGCTCTGAATAGTTGTTTAATTATATAACAGATTACCCTATGCTATGTAGTACCTTATAGCAATTTTCATAAAATAATAAACAATAATTTTCCAAATTAATGCCCATTTTATTTATTCATCCAAATCCTGTTTTGTTAATACACTAAACTGTGATGCAGCGTATTACAGGATCGACTTAGAACCGGTGATATGTTGCTGAAGTAATTTTCTTCACAGGTATTTTTTAAAGTTAATTCACGATTCATAAGAGATTTTTAATTTACTTAACGCTGCTTTCTTCCTTAGTCGAATTATGATTCAAAATAATATTATTCACATTTTTTTAAACTGTTAGAATAAGCTGTTCCCGTGCAATACAATATTTAACACATCATAATTCAGATTTTAACAATAATTTTAGATAATGAAATTCTAAACATATCCTTTGAATTCATCTTATTTTCGCGCACTCTGTACCTTTTGGATAGTATTTGTAATAATAATTATTATTATTATATAAATTATTTGTTTCGGTTGTGGGGGCAATATTTTACTGTTACTGATAGTTGGTTAATTACGTTTAAACAAAATGTTTTTATAATTCTATTTCCTTGTTGTGAGGTTTGTGACGCCAACTTTAAAATCTAAATCAGCATTGCCATTTAAAAAATAAAAAGTATTAAATCTGTATACTATGTAGTCTGTGGTCAAAACTTTGACGAAACGTACGCAAACTTTTTGATTGGCGTTGGCGCTCTTTTGCTTCCTTTCCTTTCATTCGCTCTTTCAATTTACAGAAAATGGCTTCCGAAGAATTGGTGACTGAGCAATTTCAATTTTTCGGTATAGATGTGCCCAACGAAGTAATAAATAAATGTGAGTACCCAAATAATTCGCGATAAGTTGTTCTGTAAAGTATCTATCTGTTCGTCAACTTTATCAAAGTTTTGGATATAACTTTATGCCGCTTCAATCAAAATGAATGTTCAAGGTTGTTCCATTATTCACTTCTTTTTCTAAGGCGTAAGTTTATGCGACGAATACAACATCGACGCCGAATCTTTCATTGAACAATGGATGGCCTTCAGTTTAAATCATTTAAATGGTTCATCACCGAATTTGGATAACTTGGATACATTTGTGAGAAAGGAATTTTCCAAGCGGGCGGCGAATCGTTCCAACGCAACCTCTAAAGAAAACGGACAAGTGGGTACCGGCTCAAGTTTGACGGTTTACGGGGCACCCGCTTCAGTTCAGTATCCTTTTAAAGCGCATGCTCCACGTGTTCATTATTTACCGAAGTTTTGTTACTTGTAGTTTGTAACTTGTGATATAAGCTGCCGCCGCCGTGTTAACGGTTTATTGTCGATTGTTTGTTTTCTAATGTAAGGTTGGTTGTAATGAGTTGTATTTCATCAACAGTTTCATTCCTTAGCGTTGATACAGATCAGACAATGAAGTTCTATCCGATTATATGGCCACAACACCGAAGGTATTTCAATTAAATAGTTTTTTTATTTTTTAATTTGTAGGTACTTACTTACGTATGTATAATATAACCTTAGCACACTTGAAAATAATTCAGTGCTAACATAGCATCAGCTACCGATGAATGTAGATATAATTTTTTTGATTGTTACAAGTTTTATTATTATTGTATTTATCAACGCCTACCTTTTTACTCAAGCAAATGAAGTCAGTTGGTTCACCTACTTGCTCCTAATGGGTATATGTCTAGTGCCACAGTGTATTATTTCTGTGACTAGATCTACACTCATTGAAAGCATTTAGGCCTAGCATCGTTGGAAACACTGAACCATTGTCCAGGAGCAGGTATTCTCTTTTACTGAATATTTAAAAATTATTTTTGTACCTCCTTATTTTTTATTATTTGTAACCGTTTATTTTTGAAGATCTAAGTGGCTGTGTAATTTAACTTGATGATATTTGTGGGCGAGTTTGCTTCTGGTGCATGTTCATTACAAATCATGACTAGATCCATACTCGTCTGCAGCCATCAACTTAATCTTCGTCTTCGAATCTAACTGTAAGTGCGACTTTGATGGTTGAAAATACTTTTTAATAAATTATAATTGATTTATTTCATTTCAATACTTTTCAGAGAGTTAAAGTTGAAATTGAATCTGTATCCAACCAGACCAATGACTTGTGCCCGGCTTCTTACTCTCCATCAGTGTAAGTGTCTACATAAAAAAAAATATAAAAACTGGGTTCTTTTTATAGGTTTTCCAAAGCCTTGAATTGCATTTATTTGGTTTACAACTACATCCTAGAATAAAACATACACAACATTGATCTTAACATCCCATAATAGATTTGTGTGCTATCCTTTGTATGTTGAAAGTTGCGGGTATAGTGGTTTTATACCTATGCACATTTTTAAATTAAATTTATACTTACCTACACTAAAACAAAAAATAAGTTAGTAATTTAAAAAACAGGCATACATTTTCTTTCAGTGGGTCTAGTAAATATGCATCGAGGACTAACATAGGTGCTGTAGTCCACTCATATGGTGATGAGAAATTACTTCAGAACATTTCAGAGCCATGTGGCCCCAATGATATTTTAAATTTGAAAATTACACAAGTGGCTAATGACGATGGTGACACGTATAACAAAGCCATGTAAGTACAGATAGAGTAACATGACTAATGGCCATTTAATCTTTTACTGGTTTTAATTACTAAAGATAATATTAGACATTTAATATGGCACATGCTGACTCTACCCATAAATGATATAAAATTGTAATTCTAGGTTTGGCTTTGAACTACTTCATGAGAAAGCCAGTATGTTTGATGGCAACATACGCTATGTCTCACAGTGTATCATGAAGAAGTCGGGAATCACAGATTTGGCATCTGTAAGGTGTAAGACACAGGTATATAAAGCAAAATTATGAAATCTTCAGAAAATATGTAAAGAAGATTGGAATGTGAATGGTTAATGAAATTACAGACTGAAGTAGCAGTGGCAGGTCGCATAGAATGTGATGCTGATGCCAGACTCAATCCCAAGAGTGTTGTTCTCCAAGGAACCTGGGAGCAATCACTCAGCCAAACAGTACCAGTGGATCTGGACAAGTTTGTATAACTAATAATATAAAAGATGGAAGATTCATTGACATCCTTTGCATTCAAATTAGTTATGAAAAAAAAAATACTAAAATAGTTTTGCAAAATAATTTATGTTCAAAAATAGAATTGTGTGGTCTGTCTCTTAAATTCTGTGCTGAAGAGACAATGCACCATAATTATTTTTATTTAGATTCAAACTTTATACTTAATTAAAGCTTGTATAGGTATTTTATTTCTGTGGCAGTGTGAAGCAGTATTCTTTATTTCCTGGCCAGACAGTTGTAATGAAGGGCGTAAACACGCGTGGTGACAAGTTCGTAGCACACGAGGTTTACTGTGATGCATCACCTGCAGTTGCAGATCATAAGGCAGATATTATGAATACCTTACAAGGTATGACATAAACATGGACTATTTTCAATAGTTTAGTATTCCGTAAATCTGTGTATACCTTGGAATTCTCAAATAAAACTGATTTCAACAAATTCTAGGCAAAATGTCAATGGTAATAGCAACAGGACCATATACAACATCGGATAACATGACATATGAACCTCTAAAAGACTTGGTAACATACATCGCAACACACAGACCACATGTAGTTATTATGACTGGACCATTCTTAGACAGTGATCATACCAAAGTCAAAGATAATACTATGGCAGAAACATTCAAATCATTCTTTGACAAATTAATTGATAGTTTAGGAGAATTAAATAATACAAGGTAAGAATAAGTTTATACACTTACCCACATTTTTCTAATAAACACTATTTCATAAATTAATCATTATATTTGTTTCCAGCCCATATACAAAGATTTACATAGTTTCCAGTAATAAGGATGCATTCCATGTGAACATTTACCCAACTCCAGCATATTCCAGCAGGCGGAAACATTCAAATATTCACTTTGTACCAGATCCTTGCACACTTAACATCAATGGGATAATTGTTGGTGTTACAAGTACAGACATACTCATGCACATAAGCCAGGAGGAAATATCTCTGTAAATATCATTTAAAATTATAATAATAGTGACAGCCTAAGTAAGAAACTGGTAAAAAAATTAATTCAATTTACAGAGGTATGGGTGGAGACAAACTATCGAGGCTAGCTGGACATATTCTGATGCAACAGACGTACTACCCACTCTGGCCACCAGCTCAGGGTCTCTCAGTCGACGGTGCACTATGGGCTGCGCATGCGCAACTGTCGTGCTTTCCACATGTCCTAGTGCTGCCATCTAACTTCAGATACTTTGTTAAGGTTTGTAATCATTATTGTGAAGGAAACTACACTCTTCTTCAGATAAAATTAAAAATAATTCCTCATTGTAACATTGTCTCTTTCTATCAATATAACTTACAAACGACAGTGCTTTTGGTCGTATTTTGACTTGAAAAGTTAATTTTATTTGGTAATAACAAAAATCTTCTCTTCTAGGAGGTAAATGGCTGCGTCGTGGTAAATCCAGAGCATTTAACAAAGGGAACAGGTGGAGGTACCTTCGCGCGATTACTTATACAAAGTTACAAAGATGACAAGAAAATCGCAGCACAAATTGTACGCATTTAAGTATTTAAATTAATAATAACAAGTTACGAACATTTCCTTCTTTTATTTCATATTTAAATTCATAACTGAATACACCACAATATGAGTAAAAAAATGCAAAAATATGGGGTAGTCCCAATAAAACCAACCTAAGTCGAAAAAAAAAAAAACAAACAACCGCTTATGCTACGTAAATAGGGTCGTTGAGAGAAATCTTTCCACCAGGACCACTGCGCAATGCCATCTGTAATCCCATCTTAGGAGAGCTACCACCGGATTTACGTTCTTCGGGGTTTGTGAGTTGACGGTATCTGAAATAAAAAAAATGGTAATGATAGCACCTAGACAATAAAAAGAGGCAATTAATAGGTGAATAAATAATAACTTTTTCAACTCTTGCAACGGTTCCGTGTTGGCATTGCGAATACCGGTCTCAGGATCGATGGTGGTCAAGACACATCTGGAAAAATGAAAAATATAGGTAAAACGAAATACAAAACTCGATAATTCATTCAGAATTAATTAGGTAGGTACTAAAGTAATACGTCAACTTGTAGTACCTTAGACAAGGTTTGATTATTTCAAACACATTCTCGCCGATTTTCACGAACTTCCAGTTGTCTTCATCATAAGGCTTGGCGCCTTTGAGCACGAAGTTAGGTCGGAAGTTTTTAGTTGAGACCTTACAGTCGGACAGACGGGTGTTCAAGTCATCAACAGACGCTTCGTTGACGAGGTTGAAGGAAGTCTCATCAGGTAAAGCTCCCTGAAAAATAAAATAATTTTGCAGTGAGTATTGCGTAGAACTTTAAACAAATAGGGAGTGCCGTCGTACCGATATTCGGTATTCACATCTCTTAAAAAATATGAAAAGATTCCGAAAATAATATATCTATAGGTACTACTGAAAATAAAAGGTTTTACTGAGGAACTTCTGCTTCGTTAGTTACTACCTTGCTATCGCTATAAATAAAATAGCGATCGGTGACTCTCAAGATGAGACTAATGTAGGAAAACCCTGGACTTACCGTATCTTCTTTCCTGAATTTGTAGACCTTGTTGGTATTGCCGCGGAGTTTACGGCAGTTTTCAGATGCATAGTATACAAGACGGAAGTTTAGGGGTGAACGGTCAATCAATCTGTAATTGAAATTCAAATGTCAAAACTAACGTAGGTTGTTGTGTTGTGATTGTGTGGGTTGCATTGTGTAAATGTAAGTAGTTGCATACCTACGTAAGATTATGCTCTTTTTGTACGCATTGCCTGACAACGTACCCAAGACATTTTGAACAAAGTTCTGTTCAAATTCAAAACAAATAATTATGCAACGATCGTAAGTCGTTCGTTTACGAAATGGAAAATTAAGTATTGATAAAGTTTATCTTTGCCTTCTATTTATATAAAGACATGACGAGAACGACGGGACAGATAACGCGTTGTAGTTATGAAATATGCTAAAATGATCAAGCAGATCTTGTAGTAGGTATGTACATTGGTCCCTACCTACTCAAATTACGACTAAACGTTCCAGCGAACTTTGAACTGCTTCAGAGTCTAATATTGCTATTTGACTCTGAAGCAGTTCAAAGTTCAATAACAGTACACTAAACATAGAGCAACACGGGCCACCGGCGGACCGGAGAGAAATACTATTACTTGAATTGGGTGTAGCCAGCTATATAATAAATTACAATGATTAATTAGGTCATTGATAAATTAGAAGATCCATCTTTTATCTGAGAATGATTTAAAAAATAGCTTTTTTTTAGAAAATTCATCGCCTTGGACTATGATGAACGTCTGCGTTTACCTACGTCAATCGAATGTAGTTTGTACGAATAAAAACTTTGAATACAGATGAAAATAATTCATTGGCTATCTTGTATCTACTAGGCAAATGACTGGTGAATTTATGCATTAAAACATTGAATTTCACCTTGAGAACCACTCGCTCACCTCCCAGCCGCAGTCATACACGGGCACAGGATCGCCCCAAACAACTGCCGTCTTTGGTTTCTGCAGAGCCACAATCTAAACCACAAAATAAATTATTAAAAGAGCTTCTCAAATTGTCCATGTTCACTGAATTGGTGTTTCTATGTCGCATCACGTCCTATTTATTGACGCTAATAAGTAGGTAGTTAGCACTTGCCGGTTACCCGTGGCTTCACACTCGTGATCAAGATCAGCATTACAGATTGTACTATGCCGGTAGATTTCTGAAGAAGCGTGAGAGAGTGATGTGTATCAAAAACTATTAATTTTAGGAGGTACAGAACTATTATCCTTTTCAGTTATAGACCTATTTATTTAAGTAGATAAATGTAATGTAGGTACTTACTTATCTAAGGTATTAAGCTAAACTTACTTTATTTAGCCCAAACACTAGGAGACTATCTACCCATCTATCGGGAAATAAATACAAGGCCTGATATCCAATAATGTTGATAAAAGCGCTGTTTATCTTTGTTGTTCCTAAACAAACTTAGTTACAATCGTTCGCTAAATGAGTAAACTAAAAAAATAGATAAAAATATATAAATGCCATGAGTATCGTGTGAAAAATCTTCATGAATTCTTTCGCTTCAGTGTCAAGTATCTATAAGAATCTAATGTCACATACCTACCTACATAACTATATAATCCTTCAAGTAATACATAAATAGCTTAAAATAAGGACACCCTATATTCTGTCTTTCACAACCTACCTCAGCTAGATTGACGTGGAGTTTTTCCATGTTAGGATGTTCTAAAGTGAGAACAGAATTTCTAATAGTGGGCTGCACAGCCAAGAGTTCAGGGAAACCTCTCGCTGTTATGAAGTTGTCTTTATCATCGACAACCATCAGAACCCTGCAAAGAGATTAAAACTGTAAATGAATGAAACAAAAGAAATCAATAATGGTAACTCCAGTTAAGCTTCCTTGTGCGTACTGCTAAAGAGTGGAATTCTTTGCCAGAGTCTGTATTTCCTGAGGGTATAACCTGGGAGTCTTCAAGGCCCGAGTGAATAGGTTGCTTATGGGACGACGTGCTCCATCGTAGACCGCATCATCGCTTACCATCAGGTGAGATAGTGGTCAAACGTCGCCCCATCAAATATAAAAAGAAAAAAAAAGTTACGGGTATTTCTGAATTAAACGAACGAACCTGTCACGAAGCCATCCATCTCTCAACCCCATGTTAGTACATTCAACCGTTTCTAACGTAACGCGGCCACATGACTTGATTGGGTACACGTTGATTTCCTTCAGAACTCCAACTTGTTCCCATTTTTCTGGAAGTTTCACTGGTTTATCTTGAAACAGGCGGTAAGCACAGTAAGCGCTACCCAGAACACCAGCTGCAGTAACCGTGGCCGTTACATAATATGGAACTGAAAAACAAAGGGGGGTTAAAATATGGGCTTTTTTTTCTTTTTTTTTTTAAGGGGGGAAAATCATCGAATGACTGCTCCCGCCTGGGTGAGGCGGAAGGGAGTGTTAGACTCTAACTGACTAAAAACCACCCCGTTCCTTCTCCTGCACGTCGAGCCGGAGCCCCGGTTACCCGTTAGGTTCTCCGCGACTAAAATATGGGCTAGGATAGAGTATCTAATAGTGGTACCGATAGATATGAAATGGCTTGTGCCGAATATGTCTTACAGCAGCTTATAGTAAGGTGCAGAAGGTGTCGAACTGGCCAGCGGGCCAGAAATCTCAGATGCCAAGGTTAAGGAGCTAGACAGCGAAAAATATCAGTTGTGTTTTCGGTCAGCAGTCAGTACTAGGCAATCCAAGGATTGTCTAACCAAGGTGACGCTTTAGTTAAATTAACTCGTCGAGTACCGGTTTTATAGACACAATTAAAGAACAATAGGTCGCGGTCACCGGTGACCGCTTGGTGTTTGACAGTTTAATTGGATCTCATCCCATTTCCGCAATAATACGCAACTAAATGGGTGATTTGGCTGAATTTATTGCACAACCAAAAAAAGGCAATAGTTTGGCAATTTCAGATATAAAAATAGTTTAACATCAATAACTCTGACCTACGCAATCATAGACATCTATTTATTATCCATCTAAGGTTGCGTAACTACCGTGCATTATTTCAGTATCACTCACAACGGCTGCACCTCTGTTTTATCAAACAACCATTGATATTTTTGTACCTATCTTATATTAACAGAGGTTGTATTGGGGTGTTCATCAACATTGTCATGTATTTTACGTGAACAATAAAATATGCCCCCAACCTATTATGATAACCCTCACAATATAAATGTACTCAGGCTAATGATTTTGCCCCGATTATCACATTGTTTTCAAATAATTAAAATACACTATGTATTAAAATTTAGGTAGGAATCATGTACTAAATTGCACCAATAACCTTTCTCCAGAGGTGGTGTTAAGCAGCATACAAACAAAAAAATGTCAACAAAGTTCTTCGCGGTGTGTGATAAGATACTATTTTTAGAAATCTCACATAATACTTATAAACTTAGGTACATTTTATACTACCTACGTTGTACCTATGCAGTATTTGATTTTTGTTTACGTTAATATAATACTTAAAACTTATTTGGAGTTTCTAACTTACTAATTTGCATAATATTATTCTTTCTATACATATGCTTCAGTGATGTATCTATGTACAATTTATTTACATAAGTAGTTACCTCGCTATTTACTTGCGTACCCAAGTACTTATTTACATTTTAGACCCGCTAGCCGGTACAAACGGAAAAGCAATTGATTCGCTTAGTATGGATCATAAACCGTCTCGATTGCGATCAAGCGACATAACAATTTACGTGTGATGTTTGTAATTGAATTGCGTATTTTGTAGAAAAATTATAATACAAAAAAAGTACAAGTAGTCGCTATTATGATAACAGATGCTCTTCATAACATAAAAGAACTAAGAACGATAGATTCTTACCGTTACTGGACATGGTTACGGAACAAAAATGTTATTGAATAATATTGAAATGGAATTCTGGTGGTCACGCCGAGCGAAACAGGATTGTGAGCCGTCGCGCCGACTGCCGAGGTCGCGCGTTGGAATATTACTAGGTTATTAGCTTGTTTGTGTGTGGTATGAAGCTCAAATGTGTCGCCGGAGTTCGTCGCTGATATTATAGTTGACGAAAATGCGATTACGAGTTTGTTGCACGTAGGTAAACATGCCTAAGTATATGAATTGTATTTTTTTTGATAAGCGAGTGAAGTTTGCTGGGACCGGTACACTTTTGTAGTTATAATTGTAGGTAGATTGTAGACCAGTGAATACGAATTAATTTTATGTTCATAAATAGATAGACACACCGGCAGGTTATAACGGGAACGGGGTACACTCATCCCACGACTCTCCTCCTGTCTTCCTTTTCCTCATCCTCCAACTGAGATATTTTTACCCGACTGTAGAAAGGGCAGTGTTTTTATATAGGTATTAGCTTAGTTATGTATGATTGAATAGCTGAAAACTAATAAAAGATCGGAAGGTTTCGCATTTCTCGTAAAGTTAGCGAAATAAGGAATATAGCTAATTATGCGTTCTAATTGTTCTAAACAGGAATTTGATAGGAATGATACTGATGTGCAATAGATACATTTTTCTAATTCAACAATGCTTAGAAATGTAGGTACGGTTTTTATGGGGGGGGGATCATTGAATGACTTCTCCCGCTCGGGAGAGGTGGGGGTGAGGGAGTGTCAGACTCTTACTGACTAGAAACCACCCCGTTCCTATTCTTGCACTTCGAGCCGGAGCCCCGGAAACCCGTAAAGTCCTCCGCGGCTTCGTATCGGCATCAGCCCTATTAGGTCCCATCCGTGGTGGTCTGATGGCTCATTGAGTCACGCGTGGAACGCGACGCGCCGTACGCTCGGGCCTAGTTCTGGTAGGGCAGCGAGCTACCCATGCACGCCGTCTGCAGGCCCGTACTTACGGTGGACGGAGAAGGAATGTGTGGTTTAGAACAGGCTGTACTTCAAAATCAATATCAATATCTTTAAGTTCTAGCCTTGGACACTGCTTAGCGTTTGTTTCAAGGAGTTGCATATCCAAAGGATAAAAATAAATGTAAAAGTTAGTTTGTTATCACATATTGCTTATGGTTTTAAAGATTACATCTATGCTTTACATACTGTGATTTTATAAATTGGCCCATTACTAGCCAAAGTCACTTCTCCACTTTGTCCACCAATTAGTAATACATAATATCATGTTATCTTTAGTTAGTCGATTCGAGAGCGTCACACTAAAAACTGCTATTAAGTGGTAACATTTCTATTAAACGTCAAAGCTGTCTTGTCAACGTGTCCCGAAGTCTGAGTTTTTTTAGTGATAGTGGAATGGTTCAATTAATTTATTCGTAAAATGTGCAACTTATTTCGTAGATAAAAGGTTGGAAATACTCTTAAAATAATTACTACGTCTACGTTATATCAACTACAAACATGGTTTTATTGGGAAATGATGAGGTAAGTAATATTATCGCATCTGCATTAAATTTCTTCAATACATATAAGTTCATTCTAAAGAAATTGATTTTATTTACAGTTTCTTGCTGAGCTTACAAAATTATTTCAAAAAGCGCGTACTGCAGGATCAGTGACTATGACAATGAAACGATGTGAGTATTTAAGATATAAGCTTAATGAGAATAACTTATAAATTGTGTTATACAATGTAAACACGTTATTTTCATTTCCAGATGACGGTCGTACTAAACCAGAACCTCGTGATGGAAAGCCAGTAGTGATAAACCCAGAATACAAATGTTTGGTACGAGCACAGTCTAAAAGTAAAAAAATCTCAACGGTTGTAGAGCAGCGTGATGTGGAGACATTCAGTACTGCATATTCCAATTTACTGAAAACAAGCGTGAATGGGTTAAAACGTTTGAAAAAGCCGAAGAAAAAGGCGATGGCTACTCAGTAACCATGCTAAGTGAAGACAATGTGTCAAGACTGATAATGAAGTGCGCAATATAGTGTTATGAACAAAATGTGAACTTTGCTATATACCACCGTGATGTCCTAGCTCGTAGGATGAGGTCCATTGAAGTGTGCTCTTCTCTCTGTGAGATCCGAAGAGTTGGAGTCTTACCTGCTGTTGCTAGAGATGCTGACGCAGTTAAGTCGTTGACCATCGTCCAATGCACCTGATTTTTATAACAATATTTTTTGTTACATTCTCCCAATAAAGTTTTATCAGATGTGCTTTTGTGTTTTCATTTATAAAGGTAAAGTAATTTCAAAACACTGCCAACGTTTATAAAAATCTTTATTTTATAGAATAATATGATTTGAAGATTATGAGTTAACATTACAATGATATCACAATATGAGACCAATACATTCTGCAGTTAATACAATCAAAACATTAGAATTTTAAACATAATGATAATTTACTCATATCACTTATCAAAATATATTACATTTTTTGTGAATATTCCATGAAATATTGAACACCATCAGAAATAATACTGGTTATAAAATTGCTGGAAGCCATGAAAATATAAATAATTTATGATTAATTTTAAAAAATATACATATTCAAGTATCACAATTGAACACGCCAGGCAGTAATTGCACCAAGTTACATGAGTAAATAAATAAATATATTTTCTTTTTTACTGAACTACATCAAATCTTTATTAATGGTGACAAAAGCTTACAATCCATTCTGCCTTATTATCAACCAGTATCACATAAAGCCATAATGCCATATAATATTGTAATCCTAATGATATATTTCCCATACACAAAATGCTACATATAGCTCCTTATTTAATATGTAAGCACCTGATTTTATACCCTATAATGTGATAATTTACACATTATATGAATTTTTATACATTTTATTTTTTAAATATTAAAGAAGTTAAATTTCAAATTAGCTTAATTTATAACTGAAATAAATTATTTTCAGTCAGAAAACGTCCAATTTCGAAATAAAATACTACTCCACCTGAATCATACATGAGAATATTGTCATTGGTACTATTTACATTTTTTTTTTTATATTTAAGATTGCTCCAAAGCGCACACATTGCATTACGCGTAAAAGAGCGTTACACTTTTATAGCTACACAGTATAAAAATAGACAAACAGCCTCCTTGCTTTGTCTTAAGAGCTGTCAAAAAGTTAACCATAATCTATGGTGAAGATTTTTTTTGTCTCTCATAGGACATTCTTAGAAGTGAGTCTTTTGAGACAAGCGTTCCTGACTTGGTCGTTGCCGAGCCTTTCAGCTTCCTGCAACACTCTGCGAAGATCATTTGTCCGGTCATTGCGTGCTGCGAGAATGTAGGCGCTGCTTACATTGCGACATACTAGGTAACAGGATATCTGGGAACAAGTAAATCCTTATTTTTTTAACTTCCTATTAAATATTGTGATACAAGTATTACTTATAGTAGTTATATTACCAATCCTTTTTCTTACAGAAAACTTTTCTCTAGGAATGAACGATGCAAAAAAAAGTTACAAAGTAGACTGTATTGGCTCTAAGATTTGAATTTGAATTTTGATAACAGTATGTAACACTGTCCAATTCTAGGCTTTATATTTACATAACATCACGCCTTTTATCCCCGAAGGGGTAGGCAGAGGTGCACATTACGGTACTGTACAATGTAACACCCACTTTTCACTATGTATGTTATAAGTCCCATGTAATAGGGGGTGAGCCTATTTTATATTTATACCTAAAATATTTGTTTGTAACACTGAATGTAATAAAAATTAACAGTCTAACTCGCTTACTACATTTGATTAAACTAAAAAAACTAAAACTAGGTTTTACATGTAATACAGACCTCTGCTATTCTTTCAAAGAATAAAAACGGCCATTACACATAATAAATATGTACTCTCACCTTGATAGTGACACTATGTATGTCGGCAATAAGGATCTCCGCCTGTTCATCGTAGAGCTGCCCTCTCGACTCACACCGCGTCACCACCGCACTCACTCCCGACTCCAACACTTGATCACTCATTAGACTGAAACATATACAATGAGAAGTTACAGCATTGCTCTTACAACACTTGGGCATTTTGAAGAGAAGGACAAAGTGGATCCGATGATGATAAATTGACGCTGTCCATCGACCAGAGGAGTTACAAGGCTTTGGGGGAAAGAAGTGATTGAGCGAAACGCAATGCAAAATATATTACACGCCGGTTATCTACGAAGATGCTGTTAACCTCTGGTATCTCGGAATGTAGATCTATGCGAGACACAATGCGTTTTCTATCGTCAATTATGTTAGATTATTAATTAAGTAAATAAAACGTTGATTTTATTTCCGGCTTTTAATATTTATTAACAATAGTTAATAAACAAATAATTTATGCATCGATATTAAGTATTCCCAACACTGTACCAACTTATACTGTGTGTAAGTGATGTGGCACTGGAGGTAAGTCAAAGGTTTAAATCTTGGCGATTAAAGGATAATAGATATATTATGTTTTCCGCCTACTCTTTGGTTGTTTATAAGGTGTGACAATACAATGTCACAATGTGTTTACATTACCTAGCTGCAGTTTCTTTAGATGCCCGCACACATTTGGCCAGGGTCTTAACTTCCATGAACCTGTCAGAATGTACCAGGAACTTCGCCACGTGGATGTAGATGTTCATTGAGTCCAACTTGTGTTCTGTTATGATCCTGGAAAAAATACCAACAATTTGTTAAAGAGTATGAATATGAATCTGAATCAAAGTTATGAAGAAAAACAAATAATGTTCACGTTTCGTTTCATCCTAAAATTTGTTTTACGTCATAGTGACGTGGGTCTGGATTCTAGTGGATCTGCATAATATAAGTTTTTAATCAACACTTAGTGATACCCTGATAGGCTATTTATTGGTCAGACAATGAAAATACTAATAGGACTTTAGGCGATCTTAGCGCCAGTCAAGGAACTCCAAAATGAAAACACTAGCAAAAATTTACTAAAAAAAAGTATAATCCACTTACTTGATAGCCAATTCGAATCCAACTTCAATGGTAGGTCCACTAGCGAGAACAACAGCTACGAGTCTTATTTTATCTGTAGTCGATCCAAATAGCGTTAGAGGTCGTACATCAGACGTTTCATTCTCCTTCCTAGCATTCTGTATAGGTATAGCTTCATTTAATACTTTTTCAGTGAGCCTTCCACTAGCTTCACATGATGCGAGGTACTTCGCAAGCTCCATCTGTCGTGTTATTGTGGTCATTAAATTGTCTATAGTTGCTTTGTCTAGGTTGAAATGAAACGATCTCGAGTCACTTGTTTCTGGAAATTAAACGTAGAGGAATAAATTAGTATCGTTTGTTACGGATTTGATGATTTTCAAATATAATATAAGATATATTTATAGAAGGTTGTAGCGGTTCTACAGGTAATTTTCCACAATACGGTAGTTGACAACTAGTGAAATTCAATACTTTTATGAATTTTGTACGAAATACCATATTATGACGTCATCATATTTTCGCGTCAAATAGCACACTTATAACAAAAAAAATGCTAGATTAAATCGAAAATTAAGTATATCGGCAAATCAATGAATGAAAGTATACACTATTTTTCAATATTTAATTGGACTGAAAAATCAAAATATTTTATATTTAACCCAGGAAACTATCCAATTTATTGAAGGCGCTGACGCTGATGGACAGAAATGAGCATCCATCAGGAAGCTCATTTCATTATTTAGCATTATAGGTCTTCTTTTCAATAGAGGAGTTTGCCATAATCTCCGGATTTTGAACCCGCAGTTCAAAAGGTTGATCAGAAAACACAGCTGACTGGTCTTTGTCAAATTATTATGGTATTCCCATAATCAGCCCTTACGACATTTGTTTGAGAGAAGAAGGAGCCAAATATGTTATTTTTGTCCCCACTCCACGAGGAAATGAACAATTCTATAATATTTATGATGATCACACTTACTAGTGGGTGCAGGAACACAGTGTGACAGATGACTTAGAGCTGCGGAGAGGTGATGTTGCCTGGCATGTAAGGCGGAGTACAGACGCGCGGGCGTGGACGCGGGGCGCGCATATAGTAGCGCGCACGTGGCCGCCGCGCGCGCATGTTGCCCGCTACCGCACTGCACGCCGTATAGCGCTTCTAGGCGCTTCGACATCTCGAGTGTTCGGCAGATATGCATTATGTACTCCTGTGAATATAAAAGAATTTTCATGTCAGAAGTACCGTTTAAAAATTGTTGCGCAAATATTGCGCAAACTGTTGCGCAGAATTGTTTTGTGCAAAAAGTTTGCGCTAAAAATAATATGACGTCTAAAACTAGCGATACTAGTAACTTTCAGATCACAACAAAAGTTGCATAGCAATTCAATAATATAATTTCATTTTATTTCATATATCGCATTAAAACACAAACAACAAGAATTTCTGTAGACAATTGTCTAAACATATTTTAGGATATTAAAACACAAGAAAGAACTACTCACCGACCACATATCGAGCGTACTATCAATATCCGACATAGCCTTCAAAAGATCATTGACCTTGTCTTTCTTCAAGCAATCCATGTATACAGACTCAGTAAAAGTCTCCTTATCGACCAGATTATCATAGCAATACTTGATGACCTCACTCAAATTACTGTGTTTCATATAAAAAGCTATATTTGCAGTATGAGACCCATAGTTAGTTAAATAATATACGCATTCTTTATAAAAGAACGGATCCAGTCTTTTGTGTTGATGGTCTATCTTCGGTTCGGTGTGATTATTGTTCCTTCGCAAAAGACCTTGGGCTAAGCTCTTCTTAGGCTGGACTGTAGCAGTTTGGAAGTCACTATAGTCTCCTTGCTTGATCTTTCTGACACTGGCCAGTGTATGCATTATGTTTAAAGCTGGTTCGCTTAGTTGGATCTTCTTTTTGTTCGTATTCATTGTTGTTAGTTTCTC